GTGGGACAAGGGTAGTGGGAAGGGCCTATCTTGGCCCCCATCAGGAGACCTGACCGCCCATGGGTGCCACGTCTGGCCAACCTGGTGTAGCTCATCAGCAAGATGAAAAGCTGGACTGGTCCAGCCAGTTTCCAGCACTTTTGAGATCTGCGCCCCTCCTTGTGAGCTTCCGGCCCGTCCATGTCCCTGCAGCTCCTGCCACAGGGCCACCCAAAGGACCCACATGATGGATGGAGAGAGGAATACACCTTGAACCCAAGAGATGAAAGCCCAGAACGGATTCAGTATTTGATGCTGGGCTTGTGCAGCCAGAGCCTTGGGTTCAAATCCCAGCTCTGCTTTGCTTTCTGGTTCTGAGACGATAATCAGCTTCCCCAATTGTTCTGTGCCTCAATTTGTCTATCTGTAAAATTGGCATGGCAAGGCCACCTACTTAGGAACCTGATAGTATAGTGCATTACATGTCAGGCTGTTAACCAAAAGGTTAGAGGTTCTTATCCACCAGCTACTCCTTGGAAGACCTATTAGGAGTCTCTTCCCATTAAGATTAAGTGTTATCATTTTGGAAACCCAGCTGAAGGTTGTCATAAGTTAGAATCTACTTGATGTCAGTGGACTTTTCTGAGGCAAGAGGATTAAATGTGCTAAGAGCATGTGAATTGCTTACTCTGTGTGGTCACACAGTGAGAGGCCAGAGCATAGCTCCTTCTCTCAAATAGCAGTCACTAGGCTTCACCTCATGTGAATTGGAGGGTAAAAAGGCAGAACCGAGAAGGATGGGAAAGGAAGAAACATAATCCTTCTCATTTAGAAATTGTTCTTTCTTATTTTTTGGTTTTTCTTAATACTGTATTTACAAGTCAGAGTTTTTAAACATCTTATATCATTCACCCATATTTCACTTTATGACATTAATTATAGTCTCCACATTACAACAGGACCCTGTAAGTCTCATTTCACTTATCCTCTGTTCTACCCCTTCCTCCCTTCTGAACTTTCTGCCTAGTTAAATCCTGCCCTTTTGATCTTGGATGGTTGATTGTTCTAAGGAGTGAGAGCCTCTCTGATATTATTGCTCAGCTTATAGGCCTGTCTGTTGTTTGACTGAACATTGAACCACAGGGCTGAGTGTAGTTCCTGGCTCAGAGGCTTCAAAGGGCTTTGCAGGACTGGATGTGATTTCAGACACCAGAGATTTTGTGCTTTGGGGCAGTTTCATCACCCTGCTATTGTATTTAGCAGTCACCCACCAGTCCCTGTCCTCCTAGCCTCTGACAACCATGGTCACTTTCTCTTCTATGGATTTATTTCTTGTTCTTGTTGTTGATTGTTATCGAGTTGAGCACAACTCATAGTGACCCTATGAAAAAAAGGCCTGAAGCCTTTCTATAACTATCATTATTTATCAAAGTTTATAGAGTTTCCAGATGCACGTTGTTTAGGAAGTGGATGCAGCTCCTGCTTAGTCCAGGCAATTAAGAAGGGGATGAGGATGTGCAGGGGGAGGGGAGGATTAATCATGGAGTTGTACAATTTGATGGGGGGTGGTGAGGGAAATTGGAAGAATCTGTCCTGAAAAACGATGTATTTAATGTTTATAAAAAAACTAGCATAATTTTTTAAAACAAGAACTCATTTAAAAAATTGAAAAAATAAAAATAATTTTTTTAAAAAACCAAGGGAATACCTCTGAAATATTGCAGGTTCCACCCACATAATTAAGCATGTGTCCCAATATCCCGAGCCACTCACACTTTTTTGGTTCCCAGCATGTTTGCACTAGACTGTGCTCTATGAATTGTGCATGATGGAAAAGTTGGAAATCTTTTGAGAATTACCAAAAATGGGACACAGAGACAACAAGTGAGTACCTGCTTATCAGAAAAATGGTGCCAACAGACTTGTCTGATGCATGGTTTCCACAAACTTTGTAAAAACATGTAAGATGCAATAAAATGAGGTGAATCTTTGGCAGTAGGAAACACATAGACTATTATGGACATTGATTTTGGAATTTAGATGCACTCTTACTGATTGTGCTTGGCCATACAAGTTCATATCCTTGAAGATGTATCATGGGGGTGTTGCAACCTAGAAGACACAAATTTAACTAACAAGTTATAAGTACATGAGTCAAAAATTATGGAAAAGTAAAAGAAAAGATTCTTTCATTGTTTTACAAACCCTCCCCCAGGTCCCCTCCACCATGCAGCCCCCGCTCTAGACTCCTGCGATGACAGAAATACCCAGTCACATATCTCTTTTAAATAGTTTTCTCCCTCCTCTGTTCCAGTGCAGTATACACTATTGAACCCATCTTACTCAGTCTCTCCCCAACCCCGAGGTTAGTCCCATTCTACAACAGTGGCATCATGCAATACTTGTCCTTCTGTGACTGGGATATTTCACTCAGCATAATGTTCTCCAGAGTCAACCATTTTGAGTAACATTGCATGAGTTCCTTGTTTTTTAATGCAGCATAGTATTCCATTGTGCGAATACACCACAGCTTCTCCAGCCATGCGTTTGTTGATGAGCACCTATGTGCCCAAGTCTATGTGTTTCCTACTGCCAAAGGGGCCCTTTAGAGTAGTGAGAGAAGATCTTCACCCTAAAACCCACAGCGTCCCTTTTCAGCAGGAAGTAGCTAAGAGAATACGCCATCCCCTTTTCCTTATGAATCAGGGTGAAGTCTCTCTCAGGGAGGAGTGATAGGGAATGACAAAGGACATACTGACAGAGGAGATTAATCAGAACTGACTTTGACAAGCACTGTGGCAATTGGACAGTTAAAACAGACATTCAGATGGCGGGGAAGAAGAACAAACTGGGGAGGAGGGTAGAGAGAATGGTGCAGCAATGAAGGAATGAAAACCCAAAATCCCGGTAAATGTTCATTAAAACTAATAAAATTTAATAAAAAAAAATGAGGTGAATCTGTAGATGGAATCATGTCCCATATGGCCTTTGGTGTCTGATGTCTCTCATTCAGCATCATGTGCAAAGCCTATCTATGTTAACAACTATGTATCAGAAGCATATTCATTTTTGTAGCTAAGTAATACTTGGCTAGAATATACTTTTTAAAATATACTGCATTTTGTTTATCCATTCATCTGTTGATGGACACTTGCTTGTTTCCACTTTTTGAGTATTGTTATAGGACTTGTTATTATATTTAATTGTTCAGCTATTATGAATAAAACTGCTAATATATTTAACTTGATGCTACTATTATTGTTGTTATTGTATACCATTGAATCAGAACTGACCCATAGCTAACTCTCCAAGGAGTTTTTAGAGGCAGTAAATCATATGGGAGGAGATTACCCATTCTTTTCCCGCGGAGCAGCCTTTGGGATTGTAGCTATCTTCTTATCACTAGGCCACCAGAGCTACATAATGCTATTATTAGGGTTTACTTTTTTTAGAGAACTTCCAGCTGTTTATTTCATCATTTTATGCTCCCACCTGTAATGCCTGAGGGCTCAAATTTCTCCACATCCTCCCCAACATTTGTTATTATCTTTCTTTGTAATCCTAGCTGGGCCTTCTCACTTGCTCACCCATTGCATCAAGTCAGAACCAACTCCCAGGTGAGCCTCCAGAAGGTTTTCAGGAGGCCAGAAATGGCATGGGAGGTGACTGCCGCTCTTTCTCCCATGGAGCCACTGATGGCTCTGAACTACCAGAGAATTACCTTTGAGTTAGCAGCACAACACCAAGCACACACACAGATACACACAGACATACATACACAAAGAGACAGAGACACAGATATCTAAACAGAGACCCACAGACAGACATACAGACACAGAGGTACACACAGAGACAGAGACAGATGCATAAAGACATATGGACACAGACATAGATACATGCACAGAGACACACAGTCATGTCAACACATATGGACACAGCTACATACACAGACAGACATACACAGGCACAGAGACACACACATAGACACAGAGGCACACACAGACAAACAGACACACAGGCATATAAACACACAGAGAGATACACACAGATGTACACACAAAGACATATAAACACAGACACGCAGAGACAAACACATAGGCACAGAGACACACAGACAGAGACATACACAGTAGAGACACACAGCCACACACACACACACACACACACACACACACACACAGCTTTGGAAACTCTGATGGAAGATTGTAGAGTCAGCATTGACTCCACAGCAGGAGGAGGGTAAGGCAGGGCGATGGCTTAATGTATGAGGTGTTTGAGGGGGGAGAGGATGATGAAAATCTTTTAGAAGTAGTGATAGTAGTTGTATAACTCTGTGAACATACCAAACCCATTGAATTTTACAATGTGAAAGGGTGAATTTTACAGTGTGTAAACTAAATCTCAGTAAAACCTAAGAAATAAAAGGTGACATGCTGTCCCAAGTGTGCATCTGGAAAACATCTTGCTGAGTGAAATAAACCAAAATTCATAGAAATCAATTCTGATACCTGGCAAAATCCCGTTGTTTTGAACCTCTGAATCTTTATGGGAGACGCCTGTCCATCTTTCTCCCTCAGGTTGCCTGTGAGTTCTAAATAAACAGGTTCCAAAAGGACAGTTAATAGATGATCTAATACTGGTACAAGCTGACCCTCCAGCAGGTTTTCACATTTAAATTGCAGAGCAGGAGACTGCCCATCTTTCTCCTGCGGAGCAGCTGGTGGATTCGAACCACGTGCAATTTGGCAGTGCAACTTCTTACCACTAGACCACCACTAGAGCTCCCTCATTCTTTAGTAAGGTCATCTAATAATCTATAGGACCTACACCCAAAAAAATGTTGGTTGTATATTCTTCTTCTAATGGCTCCAGTGATGCTGCCTGTGGACATGTTCCACCCTAGAGGGTGAACTTGAGTGGCTTCAGCTGCTACCCTCATGTGACATTCAGTGAGGGCTGGGGAAGCCACCCTGTACTATCTGCTCCACTCACCTGTTCCACCCACCATCTGCCCTTTGCAGCATCTCTAACAAGGAGCTGTCAGAGTTGATTGAACAGCTGCAGAAGAATGCAGACCAGGTGGAGAAGAATATCGTGGACACAGAAGCCAAAATGCAAAGTGTGAGTGTCCCTTGGGCCCAGCCAGCCCTGCACCTCCCAGCCCAGACCCACATTATCCAGCCTACTCTCGTTCCTGCTGCAAACCTAGGTCCCAGGAAGTACCTTTCTTCAATGGAACAACTAGTTCTCACCCCTTGGGGCAAATGGTCATGTGGGAGATATTGCTGATTGTTATTACTATATAGGGAGCTCCTGACATTGCATGGAGGGGCTAAAGATGCTATTTAAAACCTGAGAGTCAAGACAGCCATGGTGGATCACTCCTGTGCCAGTGGTGATGATCCCCATGTCAGGGGTGAGGACGTGAGGACAGCAGGCAGATGGTCCCTCTGTCAGTGGTGATGATGTGAGGACAGAAGGTATGGGTCCCCATGTCAGTGGTGATGATGTGAGGACAGAAGACATGGGTCCCCATGTCAGTGGTAATGATGTGAGGACAGCAGACAAATGATCCCTGTGTCAGGAGTGATGATGTGAGGACAGCAGACATGGGTCCCCATGTCAGTGGTGACGATGTGAGGATAGCAGGCAGATCTTCCACCTGTCAGCAGCAGGAAAACTTGTGTTCGGCAGTACCCTGCCCTTCTCTTATCAGGGAGCCACTTGTGGCTGTGGCACAAGTAGCACTAGGGTTGCACCAGTTCTGTTAATACAGCATGAAGATGGTCTGCATTGTTGACTCACTATGACCCCACACTCATCAGCAGAATGCCCTGCCTCCATCCTCGTGGTTTGGACCCTGTTGGACCCTTTGTCATGGCCACTTGCCAGTCCCTCTTGCTGATGACCTTCTTATCCTTTGCTTCCCTTAACTTTTTCACACTTGATGTCTTCATCCTAGAAATGCCCATCCTTTCCATGTGGTCACAGATTTTTTTAAGAGTTCCAGCCAGCTGTTTTGGGGGAATTGCCATAGATTTCTGTTGTGTGCTGTAGTCTCATGATTAGAGTGAGGATGTGCATTTGTGGCAGAAAATGACAGCCATCCCGCATGGTTCTTCCCAGCCAGTACTATTGAGATGGCTATGATCCGGCCACTCTCACCCTTCTTAGCTCTCCCCTGGCCATAGTCCCTGGACAAGACTCCTCCAGAGTGAGATGTCCTCTTTGTACCTCAGCAGCTGCCCAGTGAGAAGGCTTGCTTTCCAATACAACCTCCATCCCGTCCACATTCTAAAATTAACCCATGACCTCGAGTGCTCAGCACATCTTCAGGTCAGTGAGTGATGACGGTGAGTGGGCCAGATAAAATTCCTCCCTAGTCAGGGACCATGCTGGCCTGCTTTTTGAGGGGTGGCAGAACGGGAGCCAACCCAGTGGCCCTCAGCCCAGAAGGCTTCCCTTGGGGTATCCAGGGCCCCTCCATATCCCTGGCCCTTAGAGAGGCTGGGAAGATGACCACAATGGCTTGGTTTACAGCTAGCCTCCACTGTCTGCCAGACACTGATCACTTCGCTCCCATCTGTCTTTTTTCCTTCTTTCATCTGTCCCTCCCCTCCCTTTCCTCCTTTATGGAAGTCATTAAATGCTCTGTGTCAAAGACCAGAGAAGGAGGGATCCCCACTACTAGGCCCCAGTGGGTGCTGGGCAGTTGTGGGCATCACCTGCTAGCTACTTTCCAGCCTCCGTGAGCCCTAGCTCACTGTCCTTTCTCTCTTGTGACCTCGTAGGACCTGGCCCACCTCCAGGAGGGAGGACAGACAGAGCACCGGGAGGTGGCCCTGCAGAAAGTGTCAAACTCAGAAAAGCTGCTCTACGTGCTGGAGGCAGATGCAGCCATCGCCAAGCACATGAGGCACCCACAGGGAGACATGATTGCTGAGGAGTAGGTCCCACTCTTTGGCCCCAGGGAGCATGAGGGGGCTACAGGGCGCTGGTTGAGGGGCTGCCAGGTGCTGGCCAAGGGGCTGCAGGGTGCTGGCCAAGGGGATGCCAGGTGCTTGCTTAGAGGCTAACAGGTGCTGGCCTAGGGGCTGCAGGATACTGGCCAAGGGGCTGCCAGATGCTGGTTGAGGCACTCAGCACTCAGGAGTGAGCCAAAGGCTGTGAGCACCCTAGTCAGGGGCATTTGGGAGGGCCAAGCAGACACTCAAGAACATTGCTGGTACCACAGGTAAGCACTTAGCTAGCCAAAAGGTCAGTAGTTCGAACCCAGGTTCAAACCAAGGGTTCTTCTGGTGGTCTGCTCCCATGAAGATTGCAGCCAATAGAGCCCCCAGAGCGATTCTATTCTGCCATGTAGGGTTGCTGTGAGTCAACATTAGAACAACAGTCAAATACTAACAAAGCCTGGTGGTATAGCAGTTAAAGTGCTCAGTTGTGCTCTTCTCCTGCACTCAGTGCACCCCATGCCTGCTCCTTCACTGCATCCTACTCCATGGCCAATAACAAGCACGTCTTCATCACCATCAAGCTGGATGGCGTGCAGTGTGGCCTGGAGGCGACATCATCAAGAGCTTTGGGTAGAAGGAATTTCACCTTGTGGCCATGAAGCTTCAAAGACCACCTATTCTGGGGCTGGTGAAGTACATGAATTTGGAACCAGTTGTGGCCGTGGTCTAGGAGGGGCTGAATGTTATGAAGATTGGCTGAGTGATGCTCAGAGACCAACTCTGCAGATTCTAAGCCAGGCACCATTCGTGGAGACTTATGTTTTCAAGTTGGCAGGAACATCATCCATGAGCCAGTAAAAAGTGCGAGGAAGAAATCAGTCAGTGGTTTAAGCCAGAGGTTTGACTGACTACAAGCCTTGTGGCCATGACTGGACCTATGAATAAGAGGCAAAGAAAGGCAGCAGCCTCCCAGTTAAGAGATCATTCCATGTGCTCCTGTACACAGCTCTTCATTTCAGGGTTGGAAAGAGGAGGCTTGAGGATCCTTTTCTAAAGCACATTTACCAAGGTAGTCTTTAGAAACTCAGGGGCAGAAGGAGTGCTCTGTTGCTAATGAAAAGGTCAGAGGTTTGAGCCCACCAAGGGAGCAAGATGGTGCAGGTGCTTCCACGCAGACACACTCATTCACCACCGCAGTCATTCCCACTCAGGGCAACCCCGCACCAGACTTCCACAACCATCAGTCATAATGGGAGGAGAATGCTCCTCTTTCTTCTGCAGTCACTGGTGGATTCGGATCCCTGGAGGCTTTGGATTATAGTACAGGACCCTATAGACCATACCACCAGAGCTCCAGTCAATAAAGATGATTGTTGTTACACACAGTCAAGTCAGAACCAACTCAAAGCTGACCCTCCAGCGGGTTTTCAGCGGCTGAAATTGCATAGGAGGAGACGGCCCATCTGCAGAGTAGCTGGTGGATGAAAACTGCATGCCTTTGTGTTGATAGCACAATTCCTCAGCCACCAGGCTACCAGAACTCCCTTTGTAAAGATTATAGCCTTGGACACAAAGTTGTATGATGCAGAATCCACTTAATGACAATGAGTTGTTATTTTAAAAAGAAGCCATCCCTCCCACTTGGCCCCGCTCACTCCCGCATGTACCTCAGCCACAGCCCCCTCTGCCCCCAGGCCTCCCAAAGGGAAAAAAGAAAAGAAGCCCTGGTTGTACAGTGGTTAAATGCTCAGGTGCTAAACAAAAAGTCAACAATCCCAACCTACGAGCACTGCCTAGAGAGGGATGTCAGCCTGCTTCTCTAACCTTGGAAGTCCTGTGAGGCTGTCCTGCTCTGACCCACAAGGTCACTGTGAATCACAGTGGATTCCATGGCTGTGGATTTGCTGGTCTGCACAAGTTGATGTGAAGGATTAACTGTAAGGTTGGCACTGAAGTCTACCAATCTCCTGACTAGCCAGCCATTGTAAACCCCCTGAGGCACTGGGCTCTGTTGCCATATGCAGGATCACCCTGAGTTAGATTTGACTCCATAGCATGTAGCTAGCTGGATACCCCACATGTGTCAAGCAACTTCCCTGTCCACATAACAATTCATTTCACAGCTGAGGGGGCCAAGGATCAGGGGAGATGATGTGTCTTGCTCTGATCATCTGTGGCTATAGTCCCCTTAGTCCACACACTGTCGCTACAGTTCCACTGGGCTTCCTGGCAACAAACTGTGCTCATCTCTGGAACTTCAACTCCAAAAATCTACTGATGTCCAACCTAACTCCAGTACCCCCCTGACTCCAGTACCTACCCCACTACAGTACCCCCTTGACTCCAGTACCTACCTGATTCCAGTTCTCCCCTGACTCCAGTGCCCCCCCGGACTCCACTACCCTTCTGACTTCTCTACCTGACTCTAATACCCCTCTGACTCCAGTACCCTCCTGAGTCCACTACCTACTTGACTCCAGTACCCCTCTGATTCCAGTGCCCCACTGACTCCACTACCCTTCTGACTCCTCTACTGACTCCAATACCCTCCCTGACTCCAGTACCATCCTGACTTCAGTACCCCCTCAACTCCAGTACCCCATGACTCCAGTATCCCCTACTGATTGCACAACCCACCTGACTCCAGTACTCTCCTGAGTCCATTACCTACCTGACTTCAGTAGCCCCCTGACTCCACTACCTGCCTGACCCCAGTAACCCCCTGACTCCAGTTCCCCCTGACTTCAGTACCCTGACTCCATTACCTGACTCTGATACCCCCTGACTCCACTACCCCCCTGACTGCACTACTCACTTGAGTCCAGTACAACTCCTGACTCCAGTACCCCTGACTCCAGTTCCCTCTGACTCTACTCCCTACCTGACTCCAGTACACCCCTGATTCCACAACTCCCCTGACACCCCTATCACCTTGACTCCACTACCTACCTGACTCTAGTACCCCTTGACTCCATTACCTATGTGACTTCAGTAACCCCTGATTCCAGTACCCACCTAACTCCTGTATCTACTACTTGGCTCTACTACCCCCTTGACTACAGTACCTAACTGACTTCAGTACTTATCTGACTCCAGTACTCCCCTGACTCCAGTACCACAGAGCTATGCTGCAGGACAGAGAAGAACTGCCCCATAGGGTTTCCAAGGCTGGCACCTTGATAGGAGCAGGATTCTTCATCTTTCTCCCTCAAATTGGCTAGTGGGTTCAAATCACCAGCCTTCCAGTTAGCAACCAGATGCTTTAACCACTGTCCTGCCCGAGCTGCTTCTTCTGTCCATACAATTCAGCTATATAATGGAATAACGCTACAATGTGAATAAACCTCCAAAGTACTATGCTAACTGGTGAAAAAGCAAAACAAAAAACTCAACACATTGCCATGGAATCAGTTACAATCCATAGCCACCCTGTAGGATAGAGTAGACCTGCCCTGTAGGTTGTAAATATTTGGGTTTTTAAGAAAGTTTAGAGAGAACTTGGATTTCCATTCATTCATTGTTGCACATTTTCCTCCCTAAGATTGTAAATGTTTATGGAAGCAAATTGCCTTTTCATTCTCCCAAGGAGCAGCTAGTGGGTTTGAACCACCAACCTTTTGTGCCATCCACTGCACCACTAGGGTTCCTTTGGCCTAGATATGAGTGGGAATTGACTCAATAACAGTGGGATTTGGGACAAGTGCTTCAGTTTAGATGCATATAGACCAACATTCACTCTATTATCAACCCAACCTAATCTCTACCCTGATCCAAGGTAGGGTCAAATCTTTCTGAGACCCATGACCCTTCTGTACTTGTCCCTGTTACAGCACCACATTGAGTCATGGGTCTGGATGCTTCCCCAGAACACAGTTATGTGTTCACTGGACTTCAGAGGTTTCCAGAACCATCTACAGTTCTACACAGTGGGCCCTGAGGGACATTGATGGGAAATAGAAGGATGGATTAGGGCAGTGGATTGGAAGAATGGTGGGAGGATTGGGAGCAAGAGGTTTGACTGAGTGGTGGTCTGAGGGTGGGAGTCCTCTCCAGGGTCTGGACGGTGCCCTGCCCACAGGGCCTGCTGATCAGGTGACCTCTGTCCCCTCTCAGTATCCGGCAGTTAAGAGAGCGTGTAACCAACCTCCGAGGCAAACACAAGCAGATCTACAACTTGGCAGTGAAGGAGGTGGACCCTCAGGTCAACTGGACAGCCTTGGTGGATGAGAAGCTGGTATATCTGGTGGGACTCCAGGCCAGAACTGGGGAGGGGCTGTGTGTGTGGACAGATCCTTGATAGGTCCTATCCAAGAGGCTCAGAGAGGCATAGTGCCCAGGCCAGCATCACACAGGAGGGGCTCATATCTGCACCCCACTAGGCCAGCCCTTTTAGCTTCCATAAAAGGCAGTCAGTATCCATCCTGGATCATTTGAGGGGGAGGTTCAGTGGCCAGACATCTGGACAGTAGACAGGGAAGTAGACTTATGGAAGCCTCCAGTCCAGTCAGGTTTGTTTTTAGGAGTTTGTTCTATATCTCTCCCCTTCTGCCAGGGCTATCGCTTGCGGTTGGTCATGATAGTGGAGCACCATCCAGCTCTAGTCTCAAAGCAGATTAAGCTGCAATGACTCATGTGGATGATTAGTCTTGAAGACTAGCTTCTTCTTGGGGTCTCTCATTTTCTTCTCTCTTTGGCTCTGGCAAGTAGAGATCAATAGTTGTATCTTGGGTAACAGAGCCTGGCAGACAGGTTTGAGGGGACAGGAATGTATCATCTCATATTTCAGATGCACAGCAGGGTATTGGTCATGTGTAGAAGAAGAAGCTGGTCCACTCTTCCTAGGCCTTCCTTAACCTGGAGATACAAATCCGGATGGTCCTAGCTCCCTTAGTCTGTGTCCTCTTTTCTACGGATACAGTCCTATGGGCTTAGGATTTACCCTACTCCAGGATGACTTCAGGTTAACTGGTAGCACTGCAAAGACTATTTTCAAACAAGGTCACCATCGCAGGTACTGGGGTTAGGTAGGACTTTAGAAGGTCCTTTTGGGGACACAGTCCAATTCCTACCAGTGTCCCTCACAGAGATCACTGCATTTATGCCCTATAGTGGGTTGACTCCAGGTCCAGGGCTGAGAGCAGAGGGTCTGAGGGGGACAGGCTGCTGAGCCTGTGTCACCCCTGTACTCAGGACAAGCTGAGCAGCCAGAGCTTTGGGACAGAGTTGCCACTAGTGGACCACCAGGTGGAACAGCACAACATCTTCCACAACGAGACAAAGGCCATAGGGCTGCACCTTGCCACAGACGGGGACAAGGTAAGGGGAAGAGGGGTCTGAACAAGGAGGGAGGGAGAGAGAAACTCAGGATAGAGGCTGATCCCTAACCTGTGCCCTGCTCCGTCCCCAGGAACAGAACCGTGAGCTTCAGGCCAAGTACCAGAAACTGCTGGTGAGAGGGGTTCCGGGGGTGACATGTTACCTACCAAGAAGGAATAAGAGCATGGGAGGTGATCAGAACCCAGGGTCATGCCAACAAGAAGCATCTTTTTATTTCTGGAAATTTTTCTTTCAAAAATTGTATGTTCTGGAAAAATGTCTAAGGAAAGTACTGTACATTCACACGGTGGAGTTACTGTGTATGATTTAAACATTATCGAGGATTCATGAAATACTGTACCACATGGAGGAAACTAGAACAAATTCTGCTGAGTGGCTTAAGTCAGACCCGAGAGGATAGTTATGGTCTAAGACCACTGATATAAACTCAGTCTCATAAAACCATTATTGTAAAAATAGAAGGATAATTAGTAAAACATGTAAGGAGGTCCCAGGGGAGAAGCAGAGCACAGGGGTGACCAGAGGATGGCCAGAGAGGAAATCATAGGGTCTCACAATTTGGTAAATGAAGGGAGGGGATAAAGGATATGAGAAAGATCTGGTGGGGACCTGAAAAGCAGCAGAGAGCAGTGCACTTGTCTGGGTGTTTCCAGAACCTTCCACAGTTCTGGGAACATAGAATAAGGCATGACGGAATGAGGCAGTAATTGGCAATTCTTTAACTTTCTGAGTCTTGAAGCTCTTATGAAGCCTCCAGTGACAGGTACTCATAAGGTGCATTAGGTGGCACTAGAACCTAAATCTCCCATATAAAGGGTGAGATTTCTACTGCAAAGCTGTCAGTGCTTCATTAAAAAAAAATAGTATAGGCATACAGTAAATATTTCATGTATTGTAGTGGATAAATCTGTTGCCAAGGACCTATTTAAAGTGCTGAGTAACAAGGATGTCACTTTAAAGACCAAGGTGCTCCTGCCCCCAACCTCCAAATATGAGGTATTTTCAGTTATCTCATATGCATGCAAAAGCTGGATAATGACTAAGAAAGAGAGTAGAACCATTGATGCCTTTTGAATTGTGTTGTAGAAGAATATTGAACATACCATAGCTTTCCAAAAGAACAAACAAATTTGTCTTGGAAGAAGTGATGTGAGAGAGCTCTTTAGAAAGAAAGACAGTGCATTCAAACTGCTGATCTTTCACTTTTCAATCAGCAGCCCAGCACTTCTTCCACTGCACCACCAGGGCTCCCCTAAGAATGCCAGCTGATGGCATGCTAATTGTCAGCACTACCCAGGGACTGTGTACATCCTGTACCAGTCATGTCTGACTCAGGTGACCCTCCACTGTGTTTCTCAGGATGTAAACCTGTGGGAGATTACTTCATCTTTCTTTCACAGAATGGCTGGTGTATTTGAACCACTGACATTTTGGTCAGCCAGACACCACTCCTACAGCACACTACCCTGTGTACACACTGACCAAACCAAAAACCCAAACCCACTACTGTGCTGGTTCTATTGATGCGTCTTCACAGTAAGCCTGTTGTAGACCAGGGCATGCACCATGCCACCAGGGATCCCATATATGTGCCAACAACAGTGATGCCAGCCTCTCACTGTCCTCCCTTCTCAGACAGCAATGTGTGGCTGTTCTCAGATCTCTAAAGGTTCATGATAAAAGTGAAATCTGAAGTTGTAGCTGCTAACATTTATTGAGCACTTAGTGTATGCAATGCCCTGTACCACAGGATGTCTGTCTATGGTTATTCTCATTTTACAGGCAGGTAAGATGAGGCTGTGAAGCTGTCAGTGCCATGAGGATTTTGTGTGTTTTATTGTATCCTGGTACCAGAGTAAGCCTTGGCACTGAGTGGACATTTGCTGAGTGAATGAGTGAATGAATGTCAGAAGGCTCCAGCTGTACATCCCTCCTGTCCCTCCATCCACAGATACTGTCACAGGAAAGGCAGCAGCACTTGAGCCCCCCATCTACTATCCCCCATCCTCCATTCCCATACACTGTCACAGATACACCTGAGTCCCCTTGTCCCTCCATCCACAGACACTGTCAGACAAGGCAGCAGGGCCTGAGCCCCCACCCCGTCCCTTATCCCCCATCCCCCATCCACAGACACTGTCACAGATAAGGCAGCAGCACCTAGCCTCACCCTGTCCCCATCCACAGGCGCTGTCACAGGCAAGACAACAGCACCTGAGTTCCCTGCAGGATTACATGCAGCGCTGCACTAATGAGCTGTACTGGCTGGACCAGCAGGCCAAAAGCCGCATGCAGTATGACTGGAGTGACTGCAACCTTGACTACCCCAGCCGCCGGCGCCAGTATGAGGTGGGCATGGGATCAGGGAGCAAGCAGAGGACAGTCAGGTGGGACAGAGACTCCTCTCCCCTATGTATATGCTGCTACAGGGCAGGAACCGGGGAAGCATCAGGATGAGCACAGGGTCAAGAGCAAACAGAGGGCAGCCAGGTGGGACTCTGAGTGCCCCCGGTGCCCACATATGTATATGCTGCTGCAAAGTGGGCACTGGGGGCTCAGGGAAGCACCTGGTAGGGTGGGCGGGGGGCAGAGAAGTGAGCAGAGGGCAGCCAAGTGCTAAGACATCCCCTCTAACCACATGTTCATGCTGCAGAACTTCATCAATCGGAACCTGGAATCTAAAGAGGAGAGAATCAACAAACTGCATAGCGAGGGAGACCAGCTGCTAGCAGCCGAGCACCCTGGGAGGAACTCCATCGAGGTCATCCTGTGTGCTGCATCCCTTATCTGTCTGTCTCTCCCTGTTTGACTATGTGCTTCTCACAGTCTGATTCCACTCCCTCTCAGCATCTTAAACATTTGTCACAGCCTGCCCCTGCTGAGTCCCAAGACCTCAGAAGCCCCCTACTTATAGGGCCTTTGTCTGTGCAGACACAGTTCCTATTTGTCTTTTGCACAAGAACAACCCAAGTATGATAATAAGAGGCCGATCTTCCTCTTGGATACACTCTATCCATTCCAGGTTGCTGGTCCAGGGTAACCTCTGATCGCTGCCCATTTCCCAGCCCCTGGGCAGAAGCTAGCAGGAGTATTATCAAATGACCCCAGGCCTGGGCAAATTATCAAGCATCTCCCTGGCCTGGTGTTTTCTGGGCCCCCAGTCACCCTACCAATTGTGCGGCATCCCTCCCCCAGGCACACATGGAGGCTGTGCATGCAGACTGGAAGGAGTACCTGAACCTGCTTATCTGCGAGGAGAGCCATCTCAAGTACATGGAAGACTACCACCAGGTACCTGGGCAGGTCTACTTGGCTCCCCTGTGGCCTTGGTTCCAAAAGCTTTGTGGGGGGTTCCAGGTCTTCATATGAGTAGTGGCTGATGTGGGCATACACTGGCATGCACAAGGGACTATCTGCATTCTCTCAAGGGGTTGGGGCCACAGAGTTGGGGAAGACAGGAATGTATGTTTTTAAATAGAACTGCTGCACAATGTAGTGTATAATACGTTGGGCTGCTAACCATAAGGTCTGTGGTTCAAGTCTACCAGCTGCTTCATGAAAGAAAGATGAGTATTTTCCTCTCATGAAGCTTTATCCCTGATGGATGGATGCTGAGTCAGAATCTGCTCTGTTTGATCGCAGTGGGTTTGGTAGTTTGGGGCTGAGTTCTTAAAACTGGCTCCTTGAGGGAAGCTTGAACTTGGGCATCTGGTGGCTTGGGGTATGAAGGACACAGGGACACGTACAGGTTTCAGAGCAGGCAGTCCTTTTGGAAGAACACCAATAGGTTGGCTTCTCCCTCATTCACCACAACTCCTGGGGCCTTCAGTAGCTAGATTTTTGGATTGTCAGCCCTTCCTTCTGAGGTGCCTCCAGCTAGATTTAGTAAGACAGCCAAATGTGTTAATCATTTATCCAATTTAGTAACCTGATGTACAGATAAACCAGATTGTGGTGAAGAGCCAAGGGGGAGGGTCTTCTTTCTACTGAGAACTGCAGTGAAAGTATCATATGAGCATGAGGCAGCCAAGCTCTGAGAGAGGAGTGGGTTAGAGAGGAGGCCCCATACTCTCTGAGGATGTGAGAGCTTGATGGAGGCTGCCTCAGCCAGTCCCGTGGATCAGGTGGGAGCCAGGTGAGTAGGCGCTCAGCCTACCTGTGCCTGAGCTTGGAGTCACAGCCAGGAGAAGGCCCAAGGGACTTCCCACTTATAATGAGGCCATCCATCCCCCAGTTTCACAAAGACATGAAGGATGCTCAGGAGCTGCTGCGGAAAGTGGACTCAGACCTGAACCAGAAGTACAGCCCTGATTTCAAGGACCGATATCAGATCGAGATGCTGTTACGAGAGCTGGATGTGAGTGATAGAATTCCCTGCCATGTCTATCTTTATTATATCACGCTGTGTCTATAACAGAAGTACCAGAAGGGGGTGGCCTTACCAAACAGGAATTTATCTTCTTGGTTTAGACTAGATGATGTCAGGGTGCTAGCTTTTGGTGAAGGCTCACTCTGTCAGCTGTGGGGAAGATCTTCTGGGGTGCACCTGATGTCCACGGAGAACTCCATGAGTCCTGGTATCAGTCTTCCCCTGGGTCTAAAAGCACCCTGAGTCTAAAGCCATGTTCCATTCTTGGATTTCTTTCTTGATGGAACAGAAGTCCCCTGACCTCTGCTCCCTTGTTTAATTTCTTCTGTATCCCAAAAGGAATCAACCCCAGATACAACCTAATCCTATAGAGGTGAGGATTTACAAGTCAGATGATTGTGTCAGCTCACACTATGGAGAATAATCACATCATCTAGACACTCATGCTAAATTGACTCTCTTTCTGGGGGACACAATTCAATCAGTAACACAACCTGTCTGCCACACTCACTGCCCCATCCCACAGGGGAGCTGTAGGTCTCACCTTGCTTCCTTTAGGTGTAAGGTCTCACCTTGCTTCCTTGCTCTGTCAGGACCAGGAGAAGGCCCTGGACAAGTATGAGGATGTGGTGCGGGGCCTGCAGCAACGAGCGCAGCAGGTCGTGCCCCTCAAATACCGGCGGGAGACACCCCTCAAGCCCATTCCAGTAGAGGCACTCTGTGACTTTGAGTGTGACGAGGTATACTGTTGCCCCTTAGCTGTTTTCTATCCCCGGAAATCTCAGCAACAGGGCAGCTGCTCCTTGGACCTCTAGCAACACTTTCAGGGACTTGTGTCTGTGCCCACCGCAGATATTTCTCAAGTGGGGGGCGGATGTACTCATCTGCCTGCCCCAGCTACCCTGGCCTTCTCTACCAACATGACAGCCTAAGATATTCCACCAAAGTCCCAGAGAAGGCTCCCATTGGCCTAATTTGGATCACATGTTCACTGTAAACCACTCCTAGTAGCTGAAGACACAGCTCTGCCATGAGTCAGGACTGTGCTGACTGGGATGGGGAGATGGACAGTAAGCATAGCTAATCAAGAGGTTGGAGGTTTTAATTCACCAGCTGCTCTATAGCTAAAAGATGTGTCAGTGTGCGTCAGTAAAGAATTGCAGCCTTGGGCACGCCAGGGCCAGTTCTACCATGTCCTACAGGGTCACAAAGATGGATCCAACTAGATGACAGCAGATCCCACTGATGTCTGCTCCCATCCCTGCATATCTTAGGGAGGGCCTGAGGCACCAGCTAAGAGCCTCCAGGCTTGGGAGGGAGTGGGCAGGTGGGGAGCTGGTGGGAGCCAAGGCAGCCTCTCTTGTCCTCTGACCATGGAGCCTGCCTTTGCCCTTCAGGGACCAATCTCAAGAGGCTACAGCTACACTTTGCAGAAGAACAACGGGGATTTCTGGGAGCTCACAGACAGTGCAGGGAACAAGCTGAATGCCCCAGCTGTCTGCTTCATGATCCCTCCCACTGACCCCGAGGCTCTGGCACTGGCTGACAGGTACCAGTGCCATGGAGGGAGCTGGCATGGGCTGATTCCCACTCCTAAGCCTGGGAAAGTTCCTATGTGAGTGGTGGTTGGCTGACGCCAAGGTCCCTCACTCCTCTGCCCTCTCAGCCTGGGCAGTCAGTACCAGAGTGTGCGGCAGAAGGCAGCTGGGAGCAAGAGCACCCTCCAGCAGCGGCATGAGGTCCTGAAGACAGAGAATCCTGGAGGTAGGTTCCAGAGTTCAGTCCACAACCTGGGAAGGTGAAGTGAATGGAGTATGTGTTCTAGGGATATCAGGGGCTGGGTAGGCTGGGCCAACTCTGACACTGTATTCTTCTTGGCAGATGCCTCGGACCTGCAGGGGCGGCAGCTACTGGCTGGCTTAGACAAGGTGGCCCGAGACCTGGACCAACTGGAGAAGGCCATCATGAGCATAATTCGACCCCCGCTGGAACAGGGTCAGGCTGTGCAGGACAGCGCTGAACGGGCCAAGGACATTAAGGTACCACAAATGGGGCCCAAAAGGCAAGCTCTGAGCTGGGGCATCTGGCTTTGTGGTAGGGGATGCCGGTCACACGTGGCCAGCCGACCTGCATCATGAGAATGTAGGCTGTCTGTCCCACATTCTGAGGACTCTGAGGACCCAAGTGGGTGGGGACAGTGAAGAGACCCTCCTCATAAAGGCCCTAGTAGCTGCCTTCATCATTGCCAGTCACAGCGCCTGTGTCAGAGGCCAGGAAGCCTTGTGAAAAGCACAGGCTCTCACAGGAAAGATAAGCCTTCACTGCAGTCAGTGACACTCTTTATTACAGCCAGCCCTTTGCGGTCAGAGGGTGGCATTCGCCCAGAAAGAAAGTTCAGAAGGAAGCAAAGGGAGGGTAAAGGGATGAATGGAGATGGGAATCACAGGAAGAAACTAGGAAGAGTATGATTACATAGTGTGTGTGTCATAGTTAAGCCATAAGCAAAATGCCTGTGAGTGGTTGTGTGCAGAACCAATTTGCTCTGTCAACTTCTCCTCAAATCACAGTAATAAACGGGGTATGGGATACACAAACATATATTTAAAAAAACAATTTGCTCTATAAACTTTCACCCAAAATCACAATAAAAAAATTTTTTAAGAAAATGACCTGAAGAGAGGCAAAAATCTTTTTTTTAAAAAAAATATTTAAAACATTTTATTTTCTTCCTCCAGTAGGCCACAAAACTGGAAAAAGTTTTTTCCAAGAACAGGTTCTTCAACTCCACTTAACTCAAATTTCATTCCAGTGGTTTCACCTCTCAGTAATGTAGTCTTCCAGGACAAAGATGAAGGGGGAAAACCCATTTTTTAAAAAGAAAACAAAACATAAGAATTTAGTTTCCAGGCTGGCATCCAAGACCCAGCTACCTCTTCGTCTTTGCCGAGCCTCCCAGCTGCTGGCACTGTCCCTTTGGTGTAGCACTCACTGCCCTCTCAGCATGCTAGCTGCTCCTAGTGTCCATCCAGCATGTCCTTGGAGGAGTGGCCCCTGTGCTGACCCCATACTGACTGCCTCTGGTCCCACAGGACATCACCAGTAAGCTGTTGCGCATGGAGCCCAAGAAGACACAGAGCACAGCTGAGTGTGAGGCCTTCATCTGGGCCCTCCCGCGCAGTGGCAGCGCACCCATACTCAGGGCCCGGCTAAACGACACCAATGCCAAATATGAGCACCTAGCCCAACTGCTGGACTTGGCCCAAGAGAAGTGGGTGGCAGGCAGGCCCGGGTGGGGTAGGGAGCAAGGGACTGGGAGGACGCTCCTGACTGTTTGCTGCCCATTATCCTCAGGGTGGACATTGCTAGCCGCCTGGAACAGCACCTGCAGCAGGGCCGGGAGCTGCTGGCCACATATGAGGGTCAGCTGGCCCGAGACAACACGGTGCCTGAGAGCAGCTCTTCCCTGGATGAGAAACATCAGGAACTAGTAGTGAGTTGCTGACCCTGGGGAGCCCTTCTTCTGAGCTGGATATGTCCTTCCAGCATAGCCCATCCCATTCCTTCCTGACAGAGAGGAGACCAAGGCCCCAGCCTCTGCAGTTTGGGAATGCCAGAGACCCACCAGGCCCATGTGGAGTTGACTCGCACAGGCCTCCTGGGGCTCTGGACATGATGGTGGCAGGCCAATGTCTTCTCTCCCGAGAAGGAGCTGGTGGGTTCCACCTGCTGAGCGCCAGTGGTTTGCAGCCAAGCACTCCCAGCACTATGTTGTCAGGACTCCAGGCCACTGCCAGGGGAGTCCACCAACTTGCTGTAACCCCATGGCTGTAGGGGACCAACTCATTGGATATACTAGGCCATCATCTTTACAGGAGCAGGTTTCAGCGGGCTTGAATTGCTGACCTGTCAGCTAGCTGCCCCCAGCACACACCACCCCAGGCTTCTGTGTAAATGTGTGTGCTAACAGCACTAACAGGGGTCTGGCAACTCATGACCCACACTCAGAGGCCCAAGGTCTGGGAGGACTGCAGAGTCTCAGATTTTAAATCAGATATCCACGTGGAGGCCCAGGCTCTCAATGCCTCTCCCCAAGTGGCAAAACAAACTGAAAACCAGCAGAGTGGACGAGAAACCGCTTCCTGCTGGTCTGCTCACTGAGTCCACACCTCCTGGCCTGCCTGGTATAGGCACAGTCCCTTAAACACAGCAGAAATGGTCACCAGGTGAGAAAAGGTTCTAGAGGTCCCTTCCAAATGTGGTTCCCTAGGCTCCAGGAGCTCTGACCACTGCACTTTTACTTTTTCCCACCCCACGTATTCCTGGGCAGGCCATGGCCTCTGAGCTTCACAGCAAGAAGTCCCTCCTGAGGGAGGCTGAACAAAGTCTGCAGGTGGCCAAGCAGTGCTCCAGTTCACTGGCCAGCCGCTTCCAAGAGCACTGCCCCGACCTAGAGCGCCAGGAGGCTGAGGTCCATAAGCTCGGCCAGCGTTTCGACAACTTGTGCCAGCAGATCCACTGCAGGTGAGCTGCGTGGCCATGGTGGGGGTCTGGTCACGAGCAGAAGTTGCCTTCTCGGGCTCAGCCACTCTGCCTTAAAGCCACCAGGGGGACCGTCCCCAGTCAGTGAAGGCTTGTTCTTGAAGCAGTAAGAAATTCTGTGATTATTATGATCAGTTCCTTCCACCTTATGTTACTTGTAAGTGCTGCCCACTCAACTGACTCACAGACAGCAGACAGCAACACTGCCCAGAGGTGCTGTACCCGGAATCTCCATCATGTTCAAGCTCATAGCTGCAGCTGCTGTGTCACTTCACCTCCCCAAGGCTCTTCACCTCTTTCACTGACTCTCCACTCTACCAACTCTAAATCCCTTTCTGGGAGCTGGCCCCTTCCTAATCACATGTCCAAACCATGAGACAGTCTCACCATCCTTGGCTGCACTTCCTCTGAGGCAGAGAAGGAACCCAGGTGGTACAATGATTAAGTACTCAGGTGTGAGTTCAAATTCACAAACCACTTTTTGGGAGAAAGATGTGGCAGTCGGCTTCTTAAACATTCCACCTTGGGGACCCTCTGGGGCAGTTCTAAGAGATCCTAGAGGGTCACTGAGTCAGACTCAAATCTGTGACAAAGGTTTCTTGGGGTTTTAGTGTAATACAGTATTAGAAACAAGGCCTACAGAGAGGAGAAGAACCAGACTCATTGAATTAGTATTTTTCCCTTAAGTGCTTGTTAGGACTCACCAGTGAAGCAGTCTAGGCTTCAGGTTTTTTCTGTGAGGAGGTTTTAAATTACAGATTCAATCTCTAGTAGAGGTAGAGACCATTCATGTCACCCAGTTCTTCAGCTGACTTGGACAGTTTGTCTTTCAAGGAATATGTCAAATTACTCCAACTTAGTGAATTTATTTGCATAAAGTTATTCATAATACTCTTGATTTTTTAATATCTATGGGATCTAAGGTGTTATTCCCCCTCTCATTCCTTTTACCACTTGGTTTTTGCTCCCTACCCTCATCAGTCTTTCTGAGGCACTAGCACTCTTTACTTTTCCTGTTGCATCAGTTTCTGCTCTTTATTCTTTTTTTGTCTTAAGATGGGACTAAGATGACCGGCATTTTTCTTCCTTTTCTGTTAAGTATTCTGTTATTATCGTTATGTGCCTTTGACTCATAGAGACCCTACAAACCACAGACCTGAACTTGCCCTATCCTGCACCATCCTCACTTTCTTTCATTGTGGTAGTCACTGTACTAATTCTTCTTGTTGAGGGTTTTCTTCCTTTCTCTTACCTTTTCCAGCATGTGTCTCTGCCAAGAGTGAGACAAGGTGTCATCATCCTTACCCCTAAGGAGTACTTGGGCTGCACTTCAAGACAGGTTTGTTCTTTCGGCAGTCCTGAAATAGTCAATGCTCTTTGTCAAAACCACAATTCACAGGCATCAATTCTTCTGTCTTCTTTATTCATTGTCCAACTTTCAGACACTTAGGAAGCAACTGAAAAGATCCAGGATCTTTATTAAGGCGCACCTTAATATTTAAATTTATGTCCTTTTTCCTTAAAATTTGTAGAGGTCCCCAACAGTACATTTTCCCAATGCAACACATCTTTTGATTTCTTGACTGCTGGTATCAAGAGTGCTGATTATGGATCCAAGCAAAATGAAATTGTTGATAACTTCAATCTTTTCTCCATCTATCGTGATGTTGCTTATAGGTCCAGTAATGAAGATTTCTTCTTGATATTGAGATACAATCCATATTGATAAGCATTAATTTCCCTCAAAGTGCTGCTTTAGCTGCATCCCACAAGTCTGGATGCTCTTGTTTCCAATGAGTTAAAAATATATTCTACAGGAATCTGGAAAGACAGGGTAATGGTGGGCATAGTTCAATGGTAATTGAATTTATAAAACATAATCCATGGGAATGACTGTACGAAACACAATGAATGAAACAAAATATATACAAACTTTGTAAGCAAACCAATATAATTTTTTTAATGAGAAAAAAAATATTCTAGACTTGCAATTTCTCCTTGGATTCATTAATTATTTCTTCTTATTATTATTATTTATGGGTCTATATTGTGTTTATGGAATATTCAGTACTCTTCTCCAATGCCACAGCTCAAAGGCATTAGTTCTTCTGTCATCCTAATTCCTTGTCCAACTTTCGGATGTCTTGAAAAAATGCAACCAGGGTGCTCACTAGAGATGAGATGACAAAGCTTTGCCTGACATCCTTTGGGCATGTTGTTAGGAGCCATTCCCTGGAAAAGGACATCATGTTTGCAAAGGAGGATCATCAGTGAAAGAGACGAGTCTCAGGATGGATTGGCACAGTGACTGTACCAATGAGGATGATGACACAGGATAGGGCAAGGTTCAGATCTGTTGTTCATAGTGTCACTGTGAGTTGTACTCAATTCAGCAGCACCTAACAACAACTATAGTGTGGAGATCTAACTAAGAACACACAGACCTACTTTGTTCTTTATTGAAGATAAGAGTGCTCCAGCATTCTAGAATGTATTGAATTAGTTGCTTTCTGGTCACTGTTTCAGTTCTAGCTCAGTCACTATTTTAAACAGGATAGTCACCTTCCAATGAGCCATGTGTCTCTTGTGGCAGAATCTCAGCCACTTCCTCCCCACCCCCCACCCCTGCCACCGTAGGTCCCAGAGCCTGCAAAATGCCAAGGCCACTTATGATGACTTCAGCAGCGGCTATAGCTATATACTCCAGTTCCTGTCCAGCATCCCCAGCTATGAGCCCCAGGAGATGGACAGCGTCAGCCAGATGGAGACCAAACTGAAGAATCAGAAGGTGGCTTCCTTTGCTTTTGCAGATGTATAGTGGGATTGGGAGGGCTGGAGGCTCACCATGAAGGGTTCCACGGTAGCCTTGGTGGGAGCCAGACAGAGTCTGACCTCTCTGTCCCTACTGGACCTTGGTACTACTTGGCTCCCAGCACCTCATTCTCTTTTAGGCTGGCATCATGTCCATCCATCTCTCCCTCAATGTCCAACACAGGGCCCCGCTCAGAGTAGATTCCCAGGCTGAGTAAGCCAATGGTGCAGAAACACAAGCAGCCACATTGTAGGGGACATCCCATCCCCTCTCTGCTCTTACCTCATTCTCCTGAGGCTGAGCACTGGAATCCATTAGCCTGGACTCTAAGCCCAGCACACTCACTCACTAGTCAGGTCCACACAGGCAAGTGACTACAGTTGTGTCTCGGTTTTCCCTTTCATAAGCTGTAGTGATGGTGCTTGCCATCTGAGACTTTCTGAAGATTTTGATGATTTTATGTGTCAGAATAGTTGGAACATTAACTTATTGGCAAAGATGATTACTGGCCTGGCCTTTCTTCACACCACTCCAGGACTGATGTTGTAATGTGAGAGTGGGTACAAAGAAGCTGTCAGGATGCTTGACTCACAGTGATCCCACAGGACAGTTTGTCCTTCCTGTCATGTCTCCAGTGCTTTAAAGCGATGAGGACACAGACTGCCTTGTCTTTGACCAGTTGAAGGGCTGGCAGGCCACTAGGGCTCCTTAGGAATTCCATACCCAAACTGTTGAATCGCCTGACTCACTTGAGCCTTGAAGCACAGAACAGACTGCCAGACAGGGTTTCCAAGGCTAGAAATCTTTACAGAAGATTGTTCATCTTTCTTTCATGAAGCACTTGGTGAGTGCAAACCATCAAACTTTCATTAGCAGTCCAGCGCTTACATCATTGTGCCACCCACCTCCACTGCCGTCAGTTTGATTCCCACTCATGTCATGTCTGACCCTATAGGACTGACCAACATGGCCCCTGAATGGTGTCCTGCTTCTGCAAAGAAGCAGGCTGCATCATCTTTCTCTCAAAGAGATAGTGAGGTTCATACTACTGACCTTTTGAATTAGCAGTCAAGCTCTAACGTTTATACTTCATAGAGAGGAATAACTTCAGACCTAAGGAACCCTGCTATTCCAGCAAGAAAGTTTGGGGTTGTAGGGGAAGAATCTTTGTTCTCATTTTGCTTTCTCCTGCCTCTGCTACACAGAACCTACTGGATGAAATTTCAGGCAGGGAGCAGGAAGTACAGAAAGTCTGTGCCAGTTCCCAGCAGTACCAGCAGGCTGTCAAGGTGAGACTCAGAAAGAAGTTAAGCCCACATGCCCCCAAATGCCTTGTGGCTCAGGCAGGTGGATGAGTAGCTGGGTGAGTACAGACCCTGCTGGGGTCATGCTGTGGCCATGCTCTGCATTTTGTACAACTCTGAAACTTCAGGAATTCCATCTGTTTTACACTGGTGATTACAGCAGAACAATCCACATGTTGGCAAACCTTTCAGTCAAACAATAAACAGATCTAGAAGGGGAACAATAACACCAGGGAGAGACACTCAGTCCTTAGGACAGTCAGCCAAGGCAGGAAGTTTACAGGGATAGAGCTCAGAAGGATAAAGGCAAAGGATAGAAGGATGAAGGAAATCAAGAACCACAAGTAGAAATTGGGAAGAGTGCTGTTACATTGTGGAGATTGTATTTAATGGCATGAAGCAAAATTTATGTGTGAAGAGCTGAATGGACTTCCAGTCTGCTCTGTAAGCTTTCACTCAAAGAAAAAACTACAGAAGAGGAACAAAAGTGTTGTTACCATTATTTATAAGAGCAAACTACAAACAAAAAATTTTTTATATTTTAAAAACTAGAAAAAAAATTTTACAAAAATAACCAGAAACAACCCAATGTTGTTGTGTACTGCTAAGTCAGAACTGACCCACAGTTCCTTCAGCACGTTTCAGAGGCAATTAATTCCACAGGATATTACCCATCTTTCTCCCTGGAAAAGTTGGTAGATTCAAAATACATGCCTTTGGGGTTGCAGCACAGCTTCTTACCACTAAGCCACCAGAGCTCCTTAGCTGCCCAATAGCAGAGAAAAACCAGAACCCAAGGAAAACCAAATCCCCCTGCCATAGAGTTGATCCATTCTTGGTGCTGCTGTAGAACAGCAGCCAATTGCCCATCTTTCTCCCTAAGAGCTGCTGGAGTTCAGACCACCCAGCAGACCTTTGGGCTAACAGCCAAGAGGTTAACACTAAGGTTTCAGCTACACTATAGTGGAGTCCTACTCACAGCAACCCTGTGGACCAAGTGGAGCTTCCCCATGGGGCTTCCAATGCCAAAAATCCTTACAGGGCCAGACTGTGTAACCTTGATCCTGTGGAGTGGCTGCTGGGCTCAGATCTCAAACCTACTAGTTAGCTATTAACCCACCAGGGCTCCCAAATACTAGGCTGGCAACATTTAAAAGACTGTGTTTGCTCCTCCCCTTTGGTAAAGGCCCAGCCAGAAGGCAGCCCTGCTGGTCCTGTACACAGCTCTTACCTCCCAGATCTCTCTCACACAGGACTACGAGTTAGAGGCAGAGAAGCTGCAGTCTCTGCTGGACCTGGAGAATGGGAAGAACAGCCACATGAACAAGAGGGCCCGATTCCAGTCTCCAGCTGCCAGAGTGAAGGAAAAGGTGGGCTCTGAGGGTGTCAGGGTATCCAGGGGAAGATGGGCTGCCCAACTCCTCGGGCCACAAGAACTGGACTGAGCATCCTCTCAGGTACAAGCAGGCTTGAAGAGAAGACGGTATCACCAAGCACTGCTGGTTAAGAGAGCCCTTTTGACCAGAGCAGTAGATCTGGGGGGAGGTAGCATCTTTTTTTTGGTGGTATGGAAACCCAAGAGGCCAGAGGTCATGGGGGCTAAGACTCAACCCTGGGCTTATCCGACTCTACATCCATTTTCTCCTCTTCTCTCTGCTTGCCTGAGACTGTAGCAGAGCTCTGGGTATGGGCAAGATGCGATCCTTGATTGGATTAAAATGTTTTATAGAGCTGTATCCATCATAGCTGTGAACTGGGGCCAGCTTGGAGAGTTAGCAATTAAATTCACACTTTGGGGGAATACATGGGTATGATAGAATCTACTGGAAGCAGAAAGAGTATGGCTGTATGATGAGGACTTACTGTAATTATCAGGAAATAGTACATGCATGAGGGAAGGGAAAAATCTTAAACAATTCAAAAGGGTAATTAAAGCAGTCATCCTTCCAGCACTTCAACACTAGACTTTTTAACTCCAAGTCTAGGCTGTCCAGCTTCTCTGAGATGAATCTGGGGACTCCTGTTTACTGGCTTAGCTCTAAATGTTTTTCATTCAGGAAGCCACCCTCACTGCCAAATTCACCGAGGTCAATGCCATCAACAGACAGAGGCTTCAGAATCTGGAGTTTGCGCTCAGTCTCCTTAGGCAGGTAAGCTGTCCCAGCCCTACAGGATTCACTGCAGCCACTACCCCAAGCAGGAAAGAAAAATGCAGCCTAAGGATCATGGGCATGGTCTAGTCTTCAGCCTTCATAGCCTCAGAACAACCTCACATGACTGGAAAGGTCTGTAATGTTCAGGTCTTGGAGCCCTGGTGGTGCAGTGCCTGAGTGCCCAACTGCTAACCAGTTGTTTGAGTCCACTAGATGACAGAAGAAAAATAGGCAGTCTCCTCTCATCAAGATTTACAGCCTCAGAAGCCAGTGGAGGACCATCAAGAGTCATAATCAACTGACCACCAAGAGTTTGGGGTTGTAATAGCAAGAACCCGGAAGCATCTCAATTTCTGAGCAGGAGACTGTGTGCCAGCTCTGGTTGTGTAGTAAATAAGCACTCAACTGCTAATAAAAAGGATGGAGCTTGGAATTCACCAGTTGCTCCTAATGAGAAACACAGGGCAGTCTGCTTCCATAAAGACTTGTTGTGAACCAACCCATAGCTGACACTTCAGTAGGCTTTCAACGGCTACACATATGGGGGAGAATGGGTAGTCTCCTCCTGTGTGATTAACCACCACTGAAAACCCACTGGATGGTTGGCTATGGGTCAGTTTTGACTCAATAATACACAACAACAATAACATAAATAGCACAGGAGATTGGTGGATTAGAACTGCATGCCTTAGGGTTGGCAGCACAGCTCCTCCCTACCACTAAGCCAGCAGAACTCCTTCCATAAAGATTACAGCCTTGAAGACTCTGGGTCCATTCTCTGTCCTGCAGGGTCACTGTTAGTTGGAACAGGCTCAGCAGAGGAGTTCTTTTTTGTTTGGGCCACCATTTGTGTAGGATCATTCAAAACACTACATGCTGCATATGCATAAAAAACATCTCGGAGAATGGTGGGAAAAGATGGAGATAGAAATGAGAGATACTACTTTCCCAACTCCTTTGTCTTTACAGCCTATGTTACTTGATACCTTCTGGAAACAGAATATTCTTTCCACAAACCCCACAGTAGTAGACAGGGCTGAGCTCATGCTGAGGGCCTGAGCTGTCCCTAGGTGGCCGAGATCAGATCTGACGGGAGAGGTAAAGACCAGAGATGCTGACTTGTAATCCTATCCTACTTCTCTGTCCATCCCAGCAGCCAGATATGAAGACAGACAAAGCTCAGCAAAGTAGCCCACCATCTGGGGCTGGGGAGCCGTGGAGGATTAGGGAGGAGCTGCAGGAGGAGGCCCAGAGGCGCCAGCAGCTGGAGCATGAGGTGAAGAGCACCCAGGAGGAGTTGGTGAGCTTGCAGGGTCAGGCACCGCCAGAGGCCGTGGTGAGGAAGGAGGTGCTCAAGAGAGTTCCAGACCCCGCACTGCAGGATAGCTTCCTGCGCTTGCAGAAGACGCTAGCTGCGGAGCAGCACAAGAACTGTCTACTGCAGGAGGAGCTGGAGGGGCTGCAAGCACGGCAGCGGGCGCTCGAGCGTGAGGCGAAAGAGGCTAGTGGGCAGGAGTATGTAGTCAAGGAGGTGCTGCGCATCGAGCCTGACCGGGAGCAAGAGGATGAGGTCCTGCGTCTCCGCGACGAGCTGGAGGTGCTACGGCGCCACAAGAGCAGCCGAGAGGCCGAGGTGGCCTTGCTGCAACAGCGCATTGCTGTGCTGGCCCAGGAGAAGAGTGAGGCACAGGAAAAGGTGACCGAGAAGGAGGTGGTGAGGCTGCAGAATGACCCCCAGCTGGAGGCCGAGTTCCGTCAGCTGCAGGAGGCCCAGCAGCAAGAAGGCCAGCAGTGGGACAGGCAGGAGGAGGAGCTGGACTTCCTGCAGGACAAGCTAAGGCGACTGGAGAAGGAGCGGACTATGGCCGAAGGCAAGATCACTGTCAAGGAGGTGCTCAAGGTAGAGAAGGACCCGGCTGGAGAGTGGGAAGTAGACAGCCTCAAGTGGCAGTACGAAAATGAGACTACCACAGCCCGAGCCAGGCAGAGGGAGAAGTCGGAGCTGTTGCGCAAGGTATGGGCCCTGGAGGAGGAAAACGCCAAGGTTCTGGTACAAGAGAAGGTGCGTGAGATTGTGCGGCCTGACCCCACGGCGCAGAGCGAGCTGGCCAACCTGCGCCTGGAACTGGTGGAGCAGGAGAGGAAGTACCGTGCAGCTGAGGAGCAGCTGCAGAGCTACCAGGCTGAGCTGGAGGCACTCCGACAACGAGGGCCCCAGGTGGAGGTCAAGGAGGTGACCAAGGAGGTCATCAAGTACAAGACAGACCCCGAGATGGAACGAGAGCTGCAGCGGCTCCGGGAGGAAATTGTGGACAAGACCCGGCTCATTGAAAGGTGTGGCCTGGAGATCTACCAGCTGAAGCAAGAAATCCAGGCCCTAAAGGACACCAAGCCCCAGGTGCAGACCATAGAGGTATTGCAAGAGGTCTTGCAGTTCCAGGAGGATCCCCGCACCATGGAGGAGGTGGTAGCCTTGCGGGCCACGCTATCAGAGGAACAGAAAAAGCAGGTGGACCTAGAACGGGAGCAGGCACTGCAAGCAGACAAGATCCGGCACAAGGAGGAAGAAGTGGCCCGCGTACAGGAGAAGGTGGTGCGGCAGGAGGTGGTGCGCTTCGAGGAGCAGCCCGACCTGCAAGCTGAGGTGGACTCCTTCACACAGAGCATTGATGTGGAGCTGCAGCAGATTGACCACCTCCGTGGGGAGCTGAGGCGGCTACAACGGCGGCGGGGTGAGCTGGAGCAACAGCTGGAAGAGCTGGAGCGTGAGAGGCAAGCACGCCATGAGGCTGAGCTGGAGGTACAGCGCCTGAAGCAGAGGCTGGCCGGCCTGGAGGGAGAGGAGGGTGAGGCCCACGAGAAAGTGACACACAAGCAGAAGGTGGTCCTGCAGCCAGACCCCCAGCAGGCCCGTGAACATGCACTATTACAGGAGCAACTTAAGGAGGAGCAGCACCGGCGGCAGGTCCAGGAAAATGAGCTAGACAACCTGCGCAAGCAGCTGGCCAGCCTGGAAAAGATGGTAGTCAGGGAGAAGGTGGTCTTCTCTGAGAGCATCCAGGTGGACAAGGGTGACACAGAGCAGGAGATCCAGAAGCTTAAGAGCAGCCTGGAGGAGGAGAGCCGCAGCAAGAGAGAGCTGGATGCTGAGGTCAGCCGGCTGGAAGTCAAACTGTCTGAGCTGGAGTTCTGCAACTCAAAGGCATCCAAGGAACTGGACTTCGTGAGGGAGGAGAACCACAGGCTGCAGCTGGAGCGCCAGAACCTGCAACTGGAGGCCCGCCGGCTGCAAGCAGAAATCGAGCTGGCAGCCACAGAGGCCCAAGGTCTGCTGAGCCACTCAAAGGCAGGCACAGGGCCAGCCCACGACGCACGGTTGAGGTCGCTGGAGAAGGAGCTAGAAGAGCTCAAGCGGCTATCCCAGGACAAGGACCTGGAGATCGAAGAGCTACAGAGGCGCCTGGGTAGTGTGGCAGTCAAGCGGGAACAGCGAGAGAACCACCTGCGGCGCTCCATTGTGGTCATCGACCCCGACACAGGCCGGGAGCTGTCCCCAGAGGCGGCCCGCCAGGCTGGGCTCATCGACTGGAACATGTTCGTGAAGCTGCGAAACCAGGAGTGTGACTGGGAGGAGATCTCTGTCAAAGGGCCCAATGGGGCCTCCTCGGTAATTCATGACAGGAAGTCAGGAAGGAAGTTCTCCATTGAAGAGGCGCTCAAGAGTGGCCAGCTGAGCCCTGAACAGTACGATCGCTATGTCAATAAGGACTTATCTATCCAGGAACTAGCTGTACTGGTGTCTGGGCTGAAGTAGGACCAGTGTTCTCCCTTCAAGCCTGTGGCTGTCCCCTCCTTGGTTGGCAGCCATGCGGTCTTCCAGGTACCCTTGCTTCCCATCAGCCTCATCAGCCCAGCGGCTCCACTGTCCTCCACTGTCAGCTGCTGTATCCTGCACCAAGTCAATGGCTGTGGTGCCCTTTTCTCTTCCTAGCGTGCTTCCTTCAATAGACTCACATGCCAGCTAGGGCCCTTTTGTCAGCCTGGGCATGACACTATCACATAGCCACTGGGCCTCTGTGCCCTTTCCCTGCCAGGCCTCCAGTCCAGGACCAGCTCTCTACCTGAATGACCCCCGTAGTCTGCCAGCCAGCTGGATACCCCACCAGCCAGGGGTCCTGACCAGTGCCCATGCGGCTCTAGGATAACAGTCCCTGGGGACCAGTGTTGCTGGTAACCTGATCTTTGTGTCTTCATGTCTCATTTCTTGTTCTTTGGGGTTATGGAACTTGATTTCCACTGGATAAACTTCTCGTTTGCTGCAGTGCATTCATTAGGGGAAAAAGATGGTACTAGAGGGGATCTCTACTTATAGTACAAATATTAAACATGTTGGCTTGATGATCCTTTCATTCTAAGTGTGCTGCTTTCCTTTTGTGTGTGAAGCATATTCCCCCGCCCTCATTCTTCAACCCAAATGGATCTTTCTTATGTAACAGCTCCTATGGGAGGAAGAATCACTCATAAAAACCAGGGAAAAGGAAAATCTGGTTTTGGGTTTTTTCCCAAAAAAGAGAGCTTGTTTTGGAAACCTTGAAACAATTTATTGAGTTGCTTTATACAAGATTAACAACTTGCACACTGCTCCTGACACCACTATCACCTGCAGTACCACAGCCCCTCTCACACCTCTGAACCTGCAGCCCTGGTGAAGCCCCAGGGCCCATAGGCCTGCATGGCCGGCCCTGCCGTGGCTACTCACATCACTCACTCTTCCAGTACCCACAAAGAAAGCATAAATCAGAAAAAGAAATCTCAAACTTCCCCATCAAAGAAACGGTTCCCTGAGGCAAGAGGCATCGATAGATTCCTAAAAGTGAGGGTCTTCCGCTCCAGCTGCACACTCATAGTACAGGGGCAGGTGGGGCAGAGGGCTGTGCGGTGCCTGGTGGTCTCAGCACACCAGGCCCAAAGAGCCCCTGCTGCTCAGCAATCCCTGGCTGCTCTGAGCTCAGTGACAGCAAATCTCTTCTTTGGCTCTTCTGCTAAGATCTAAAATAGTCTGTAAACAAACTTGAATCAAGTTGCAAAGAAAGTATTGGAGAGGACTAGAAAATTCACTTAGCCCAAGGTAAGTGCTTACTAAATTTTAAATGTTTTTAAGAAAAAAAAGAGTGCACACAGAGGCCCAGCTGCACACTGCAGGCGGCCTGACAGATGGAGACCCACGCTCGCAGGGGACATGAAGGTGTGAGAATGCCACATGCACCACTGCAAGTATCACAGACTCTGCAGCACTGTGTTTACAAGGTGGTGCCTTATGATGAGACCACCTATTCTCACCACATTATGACTTGACTTCACTAGCTCAGTCAGGTCAGCCTGACTGCACAGGCTCAAGTCCAGAGATGCCCAGGGAGCAGACCCTGGCTAAGTATGACAAGCCTCTGGAATGTTGTCAGCTGGAGCTGGTGGACCTCTCTGAGTATCAGGTGGTATGCAGCTGTAGCCCACATATCAAGGCTGCTTCCACAGGGCAGATGCATCCTGAGCCAAAGATGGAGGCTCTGCTTGGGGAAGTTCTGAGGAATGTTAAATTGAATGTCGTACGGTGACTTGGGGGGGCTTTGGGTTCCTCTGCCCACCATGGGGAGAACACAGGACTGGAGGGCTCTTGAATCCATTGAGCTAGGGCCCTAGTGAGCCTAGGACTTGGGTCTGAAGAGCCACATGTGACATTCCAGTCATGCCAGCACAGAGTATGACATGCAACTGTCAAACTGAAAACCAAAAATCTCAAAGCTGGCTATGTCTCAGACCAGGACCTCATCTGAGAGTTTGGTTCTGCCCACCTAAAGGCACTGGGATCACGTCTTCCAGGTCGTGACACGCAAGCCGAGGTCCCACTCTTTCCACTGCAGTCTGTTAGGATGAGGGACTAGGAACCATAAAGAAGTGTCTATAGAAACCCCTTCCTGGGGCCAATCTACAAAGCCTCATGTCTGGCAGAGCTGGTTGTCATGCCAGGTGGGGAGCCCGGCTCCATGGTGCATACACACGTTCTCGACAGTTCTCAGCGGGCAAAGGGGCCACTCAGCTGGGGCATCAGGGCTTCTGTTGTGTTATGCGCATAGCCTGCCCGAGTGCTGCCAGGGACCGGCAGCCTAGCAAGCAAGGAGTCCTGCCAGGCAGACTGACACAAGAGTGCAGATGCCCTTCGGCAACTATCCAGTGGTATTGCCCTGATGCTAGAGCACCAGGTGAATAAGTGCTTCTTGAGGAGCTTGAACGGTTCCCCTAACTGGAGGTCTACCTTGCATGTACTGGCAAACTCTCCTCTGGACTTTGCTTTCCTCAGAAAAACACGTACAGACAGAATCATAACATCCACTGTTGGAGACTCATTTGTTCAGTTTCGACCCAGACTGCCTGGCTGAGCCTTTCCACACAGGTCGTCACAATTTCCGGGGCGCAGTGTGGCCTTTACTGTGAAGCTGAGAAGCATCTGGAAAAAGAAAAGGGACAGGCTGCCGACGAGATCATGGTTTTCTTACAATCCTCCTCGGGCTTAAGGCAACCCATGAGGGTCATTTTAGAAATAGGAAAAGCCCAAGTGCAAAGAAGAAAAAGCATGGGCTTTCAGGGGACATGAAACATTAAGCAGTGTGAGGCAGGACACTGGGGACACCATGTTCACAGCTTCCAGACACCCCAGGACAGGTCCACACATGGCATTCAAAGTGACAGCCACCACTTCTTTCCAGCCAGTCCTCCAGAGTGGCAGGGACACTTGCAAGGAGTGTGGAGAAAGTAGACACCCAGTGGATGAGGTCATGGGACACAGAGGGGCCAACAGAGTTTCACCTCCAGCTCTACCTGAACCCCCGAGCTCACACTGCTGCCATCAGCATGCTGGCCTTGCTTCTCTTGACTGCCATTCATCCTCTTAACTAAAGATGCCAGAGACCAAGAGCTGCGTCCCAACAGACCTCCCAAAGGTGCTGAGCTTGGCTCAGCTGATGCCACATGCATGGCTGATGCCACTCCTCTCTCCTGTCCCCAGAGCACCACAAGCCCACCAGAAGCACCACTCCCTGAAGAGAAGGTCAAGGGTCATTTAGCGCCCATATCTAGAGTAGCCAGAAGCACCCAGACCCAAACCGACAGCTGTAGTCGCTTCTCCTCAGGGTTAATTCTGTTGGTTTCTCAGATGGTCAAGCTTTACAGAAGAAAGCTGTGCCCCTGTCTACCCATGAAACAGCTCTGGACTCAAGACACCGGCTATTTGGTCAGCAGCCTGAAACATAACTTACCATGCCACCAGGGTGCCTCAGCTAGGGAATGGAGATCAAAACCACTACATAAAAAGGAGGTACAAGAACTTCAAATGCAGTTTTAGCGTGTAGGTGATTATAAACTCTTCTCCACACCCCAAATACAGGGCGTCTATATTAAAAGAAGCCCACTGCCCTCAAGCAGGTTCTTGCTCTGTCAGGTTTCTCCTGTTAAGTATCCAAGGGATTTTAACCACTGACCTTTTAGTTAGCAGCTCAGCACTTACCCCAATGAGCTACCAGGGCTGAGGAAGAAGAGCTGGGACAGAAGCCCCAAAATGCAGCCAGGCACTAGGTGCACACACCCAAGTGCATGAAAACCAGTACCCACACAGAAGACTGCGGTCCCTGGATGCCTGAGAGCCCATGGACAAGGGGTCCCAAGGAAGGTGAGGCAGGAGCTCCACAACTACCAGCCAAACCTGGCCTTGCTTCCTGACCCATACTCCACACCAGCCTCACTGCACTCAGTCTGTAGCCGCACACATTGCACAATGCAGAGACGCCTCTGTCTGCGGCCGCACACACTACACAATGCAGAGATGCCTCAGGCTGTGGCTGCACACAGTGCCCAATGCTGATGCTTCAGTCTATAGCCGCACACACTGCAAAATGCAGAGGTGGCTGCCAGTCAGCTCTTCACCTCAAACATGCACACAATGCCTCAGAGGAGGGGCCCAACTGCCTCTTCTACTTTTAATTCAAAAAGGGAAACTGAACACAGAACTGGAGGCCCTCTGCCTCTTCTCCAGCTCTATCACTGCCCTGTGACAACAATTCTTTGGTCAGCAGGGCAGCAATCTAAGAAGCCAAGCCAACACAGAGGTCCTAAGGAAAGCTGTGGTCCTCCCACACCCCATATACAACGAGGGCCTCTCCAAGCATGGTGTCCAAGGACACCATGATGGGAGGCAAAGACTCTGTGGCAGCTGATATAGATGACCATGGGGGACAGAGAGGGCATGGGCAGATAGACTGGTGACCATTACCTGGCAGGCTCTGCGGGACATGGGTGGACAAGGCAGAGTGTGGGAGGGGCACTGCAGGGTGCGGGCTGGAGTGCAAGCCAGCCAGAAGACCTAAGAGAAAACAGAGAGAGGACGGGGAGAGAGGACACAACACATGGTGGAAACAAACAGGACAGCCCTGGCCAGGACCAGTGCTGGAGGAAAGCCCTATGGGAGTGAGAGAGGGCTCAGTACAGCACCCGAGACACCAACTCAAACCAACAGTAGCCAGTTTGCTGTGCAAAAGGGAAAAGGCACTTACTGTGGCTGAGTCCATGGTGGAAGGTCCCAGGGGCAGGGCCAGTGACGACAGCATCCTTAGAGACGCCTGCCTTGGTGGCCGAGTCAGCAGGGAAAGAGAGTACGTGGACAGGAAAGGGGACAGAGCCAATGATGCCCAGCGAACTTGAGTTCATGGCCCCTGGCAGCTTGGAGCTGTTAGCCTTGTAGGACGGAGACAGTAGGTTCAAGGGAGATGTGCTAGTCAGCAAAACGGCCCCGCTGGTTCCTTTCTGGGGAAAAAGCACCACAAGCATCAGACTGCTCACCCCTCTGGACTTGGGTCCCCTGGGTCTTGCTTACATCCCCCTACAAGGCCCTCTTGTGAAGAGCCTCCTATTCTGCTCTCTAGCCAAGAAAAGGAAGAGAAAGAGTCTCTCAAACAGCTACAGGAAGTCCTCTAGGGCAGACTGGGAATCTTCAAACTCAGGGTGTTTGTGTCTCCTCTGTAGGAGGAAATAAAGGAAGAATATTAACAGGGTAGAACTGTCCCCATGTTCCCAAGTCCTAGAGCACACAGATATATCTTTCTGCCTGGGAACAGCTGGTAGGCTCCAACAGAGAAGCCCAGCACTCAACCACTGCACCACCCAGGAGACCTGCTGGCTGGACTCAAAAGCCAAATGCTTTGCTGCTGATTCCAACTCTACAGGACACAAAAAACCTACCCCTTAGGAGCTTCAAGGCTGTAGTCTTTATAGAAGCAAAGGGTGACATCTTGTACCCAAGCGGCAGCTGATAAGTTCAAAGAACTAACCGTGGTCAGCTGCAAAGTGCTTTAACCACTGTGCCACCAAAGCTCCTTATAAATCTGCCAAGTGTATACATCTGTACACATGTGTGTGTGTACTCATATACATTCACTCACTCACTGCCATCGACTCAGAACTCATTCATCTACCAGGCTTCTGAGGCTGTAAATTGCAGGTGAAGAGACTGCCCATTTTTCTCATCTAGAGCAGCTAGTGGTCTCCAGACCACCAGAGAGGTGCAGCCTTCACATGAGCAGCACAACTCTTCACTTGTACACATGAACACAAATTTACATGCACATATGTGAGTTTTTGTTTTTGTAAAGCAATAGAAAAGCAAGCCATAAATACAGAAAATGAGAAATGAACAAATGATAACTGTCCCTTAACAGGCAGGCAGAAGGAACCAAGAACAGCATGAGGGACTGGGACTTTCTCTGAATGGACTGTCCTGCAGTTTTGTCTTTCATCCATACAGCTGTTTACTTACCAGGGAAACAAAGAAGAGAGACAAACATCTGCTCCTATTTCCCTAGCCTGCCCTCAGGCTAGGACTGCTGGATGGCTGGGCCAGGCTGGACAGGCCACCCTGTCAGACCTGCTGTAGGGGTCTTCAGAAACCTCCTAGGACAGGTGATGTCCTGGGTCCCACTCAGCCCCAAGCTGAGGGAAGCTAGCATGCTCCCTGATCATAGCCTTTTCCTTTTGCTTGTGTGGAACTGCTTGGGGCAGTGGTCATGAGGACAGCATGTAACTGCCGCTCTTTTTGAAGGCCCACATTCTCCCTACCAACCCAGTGTAGGCTGGATGTGCTCACTCTTCCATCACTGGAGAAGCCTCCCTGGGATTCCTGGTGACAGCCTGTCTGCTTCTAAGGTCACTGACTCCACTCTACCTTCACACCTAGGCCTGCCCCAGGACATGTGTATATGGGGCACTTACCGGCAACGAGGTAGACGATGTCACACTGCTGACTGCTGAGGGCTTTAACGACGAGGTCAGCAACTTTGCCACTCCCTGAGTGCCCCCACTCGAATCTCCATTTGGACCACCTGGTGGTGCCACCAGGGTCAACTTCTGGGAGATGGGTGGCTTCTTCACTACTAAGCTGGGGACTGGTCGGCTGGCAGACTGTCCAGAGGAGGGGTTCTGCCCACCAGGCAGCAAGTTCCCAGAAGAACTAGAGGCTGGCAATGCCCCGGAGGCAGAGCTGCCAGGTGCAGCTGCATGCCTGGAGAGGGCACCAGCGAAGGGACTGTTCTTGTAGGATGAGGACCCAGCTGAGACAGCTGAGTGCTGCTTTACTGCATGGCTCAGAGAGGCAGACGAGGAGGCTGAGGCCTTGTGAGAGGTGCCACCATTGCTGCCAGGGACTGGAGTGGGTCCAGAGCTGGCTGATGGGGTGGGATGGGCACTCTGGCCTTTGGTAATGGTCTTCACCAGCTGGAAGAAGGAGGGGTGAGACTGTGGTGAGGGCACCTTTGGGCCCGGGAGCTTGTTGGCATACACAGCTGAGGGAATGAAGTTGCCCTTCTGCTGCTGGGTGCCAGCATGAAAGACTTTCACTGGGGGACTGGGAACTGCTGCCATGGAACCATGGGGTGGCCGTGGCATGCTGTGGTGCTTTGCTTTAGGGAGGTTAGTGTCTGGCAAGTTCTTGCTGGGGGGAGCTTGGCAGGACACCTCTTGGTGGCCTGAGCTCTCTACCTTTTTCTCCTGAGTGGACTGCCCCAATGCCAGGGCCTGTTCGGCCAGGAAGTTAAGGGGCGACTGCAGTGAACTTGTGGGTGGTGGGCCAGAAGGATTGGACTTGACAAAGGTCCTTTTCTCCTCTGTGCATACAACACCTGCCACCTTGTCCACAGGTACTTTCAAAGGGGTGGGCAGTGTGAACTCAGGACCCTTGCCAGCCTGGCTATTCAACACGGCCAGCTCCTTAGACACAGCTTCCAGGGAGGAGGCTGAGGTCCGGAGCAAGTCTTCATCAAGGGAGTCGTCCAGGCTGATAGGGTTGGCCAGGCTGCCCGAAGCCTGGGAGGGGAGCTCCTGGCTGGCCACGCTCACACTCGGGCCTCCTCCCTGGAGTTCTAGCAGGGCTGCAGTGCTGCCAGGTTGGCCTGATGGGACAGGAACCTTCTTCTCAGGCTTCGTTGAGGAGTCCTAGAGAGAAGCAGACACGTTTGTGTCCAAAGACGTGGACTTGCGTCCTGTGAGTGAAACACAGGCACTCGGAAGTTAGGGAAGGAGCATGGGTATGAGGTGCCCAGCCTGCTGTGATTTTGCTGCCACATGCCCTCTCTGTCCCAGGGCCACTGAGTGCCTGTGTTTCACTCACAGGATTTTTCTCTCCTCCACTTCACCCAACACCTCCGTAAAAAGAGAAGTTCTTGAGACCACAACTAGATATGCCTGCTCTAAAAGAGATCACAGTATGTAGTCCTGGATATACATAGTGGGCACAAATGTAGAACAAAAGTCAAAAGTGTAAAAACAGCCAAACTAACAGCTCTGATATGGCCTGAGGGAGCCCCAAAGACTCTGGCCCTTTAGTAACATTTTGAGCCTAGAACTGAACTCATTCCTTGGGGCTCAACTTTCAGCTAAACATACACAGGCATAGAAAGAAGTAAACAGTAACACTAGGGAAGCACTCATTCCACAAAACAATCAACCATACAAGATCAAAAGGGCACTATTTGTACAGAAAAATCAGAAGGCAGGAAGGGACAGAAAAGATGAATGGAAATGAGAATCACAGGGAAGATTAAAGAATGAGTGCTGTTACTTTACAGGCACTGTAACTAATGCCATGAGATAAAATTTGTATACTTGGTCGAATGGAAACCAAATCTGCTCTTGAAATCTTCAATTAATGCACAATAAAATAATTTCAAAAATACTAGTAATAATGGGAGAAAGAATAAAAAAGATCCCAGAGTAATGTATATTTATAGGGAGATCTGATTTCTCAAAGGCTCTCATTAAGTCTCATTTACTCCCCACCCCCACCTTGGGCAGTGCAGGGCTGAGGCACAGGTTTGCATCTAGCTACACCTGGGCTGCTTCCACAAGCCATGCTGAATAGCGACGCCCACACAGGATACACTCCAAACCACAATCACCAAGACTTCAAACTTCCTAAGACCAAAGACAAAGAAGAATCCTTGGAGCAGCTGGGGAAAAGGAAATGTTACCTACAAAAGGGAATCAATAAACCCAGCCTCTGCTGCTCAGAATTATACTAGGGAGTGATGGGATAACATACACAAAACCTTCAGAGGTAAAAACCTGCCACCCAAGAATTAGATCCAGTAAAATTTCCCTCAAATATGATGGTATAATTAAGATGTTTCCACATAAAGATATATAGAGAGGGTGTGTATGAATAAGAGTGTACAATGAAAGAATACTAATCAGTCCTATAAGAAACAACTAACAAGAGTCTTTCAACCACAGAACCAAATATCTGACACATAATCCTATCACCCTGAAACCAACTTAGAGAAAGAATTTTTAAAAATATACTAAAGCTACAAGTGTAAAAGAAACAAGATAAAAAAAAAAAAAAAGTCCCCAAACACTACGCAGCAGAGTGTGCTGCCAGTGTTTCCTGAGGGGCTGGGGTGTGAATGATGGGTAACGGGTGTGCTGCCATGGTCTCCTGAGGGGCCTGGGGCAGCAGGGTGTCCTGCCACGAGATGTGGGGATGGGGGTATCAGCGTGTGCTGCCATGGTCTCCCGCAGGGATGGGAGGGGACAGGGTGTGCTACCATGGTCTCCTAAGGGGCTGGGGGGGGGGGGGGCTCCACCTATGGTCTCCCGAGGGCATAGGGGGCAGGCCATGAGCACTGACTCACCTTGACCTTGACTTTCGATGAAGTCGTGACCTTTTTCTTGGCCCTATTTGCAGGAAGGAGACAGACAAGGTTTAGAGGGTGTCCAGGAGTTAAAACCACCATGATCTCGAGAAGTGAAAACAGACACTCACAAGATGGATGTCAGATGCCCATGGCCACGACGACTCTCTTTAAATAGGGTCCTGGAAGGAAGAGAGGACACAGGAAATTAGCATGCTGCCTCTAGACCTTCCCACACCCAGCACCACTACAAATCAGTGCATGGTACTAAGTAAATGGCCACTGACCACTCAGTTACATACTGATGAGATCAGAGATGCTGTCCACCAAGAAGTGATGGCCTGGCCCCTTCCCACAGTGACACCTATCCTCTCTTGAATGCAACAGGGTCTTGTTTTATCACGTACTCTCATCCCATCCCAGAGAACATAGGGAATGACCAACAGTGTGTCCTTCCTCCCTTCCTCTCTTCAGGAGAGGAGCAGTGCCACCGTACAAATGGACAGTGAGCCCAGAAAAGGCACCACCTTCTGTCTGAACCATGAACTACTCAGGCCACATCAAGACAGTCAGCTCCCATTGACAGTTGTCTGTGTCCTGTTCTACAGGCATGTTCCGTCCACAGACAGCATGAGGACACAAAGCAGCCTACGAGGCCGAAGTTGGCAGCTCTCAATAGCTACTGGCAAAGCAGGCCTGTTCAAAGAGTGGAGATGGACCAAAATGAACTTCTAGGTGAAGCCAGCATCCCTAAACAGGTGCCCTGGTGGCACAGTGGTTAAGAGCGCTTGGCTACTAATTGAAAAGTCAGCAGTTCCAATTCACCAACTGCTTTGAGAAAGAGAGACAGATGAGGCAGCTGGTTTTCCCCCAATGTTTACAGCCTTGGAGGGCAGTTCTCCTCTGTCCTGCAGGTCACTGTGAGTCAGAAAGAACTCATCAGCAGTGGGTTTTGATTAGCAGCCTGGGATGGGAATGGCATGCCATTAACCTCAACACATGACACAGCCCAAATCCCAGAGAAACGTTCCCTTCTTCTAGAGCACAAGGACCCCTCTGTGACTACCAGCACAAAAGGGAGGTCAGAATCCAGTCAGACACGATTCCTTTAGAAGAGGACTTGAGACATCTGCTGACCTGGCTGGAGGCTCTATCTCATGTCACACTCACCCCAACCCAGTACAGGTGCCCACTGGCCCTCACCTGGCCTGCATCCAGCCTCTGGGCCAGAGAGGCTTGACCTCAGCATCCAGAAAAGCCTTCACGTGGTCCTCCCAGGACTGGGCCTTGTTCCTCTCTGGTTCATAGCCCTCCAGCTTCATCCGCACCACCTGACAGAGCAGCTCCCTGAGGATGAGGCAGACATCAGAACTCCCCACTAACCCGGGGCTTCTTCAAGGACTCCGTCTCTTGATTGTAGCAGCCTGATCAAAGTTAGTGCTGCTAGCCTTCCATTAGAAATACAGGGACCTACTCGGACACAGGCCCCGTAAACCCCTCCAATGAAGCGAGTGTGGGCACACCTGATTTCATCGTTCCACTGGAATTTCTTCCGGGGCCCCATTATCCGTCGGCCCCCTTTGTCTTCATCTTCTTCCTCATCTGAACAAATTCGTTCTCTCTGCTCCTTATCTTTTTCCTCTTCCAGCATCCTACAGGGCCGAGAGACTCTAGTGGGACCCTAAGGCTGCCATGTGAGAGCTGCTCCCTCCCGTAACTGGGCATTCCAGGATAAAACCACTGCTGGTGAGTCAACTTCAATTCATAGAAGCCTGTGGAGCAGTGTAGAACTGCCCACTGGGTCCCCAAGGCAGAAATCTTCATGGAAGTAGACTGCCCTATCTTTTTTCTGAACTGCTGACCTTTCAGCGAGCAGCCCAACCTTTAACCAGTTGCCCTGGTGGGGCTCTTCCCTTAAGATGAGGAGGCAGGAATGGTACAGACAAGCTCAGAGGTGAGCCCAGACACTAAGAGTGAGGACGATACTTACTTGGCCACCTTGGCCTGTGTGTGTGCCTGGCACTCATCCTGGTACTTTGACATCTGTGCTGGCATCGACCTGCCAATGGCCTCCTTGAGCTTTTGGAGAGGTTCCCGCAGACGCCCACCCTGGGGAAGAGTATCACAAGCAAGTCAGAGTTGTGCATGGATTCTGGACACGAAAGGATTAAAGGCAGTTGATGGGGGCTCTGTGAGGACAGGCCAAGCCGTACCAGGGGATGAACCCACCGAGGTGCCTCACAGCCCAGGTACCCACCTGCTCATAGAGATGAAGTTTCCGTGCCCGTTTCAGCAGGGTATCCCTGCTGCAGGGCATCACAGAGGCAAGATAGGTGTACACTCCCGAGCGGACCTGGCTGCTCAGCTCCCGCGTTTGCACCTCTATGCTGAAGAACAGAGCAGAGTCAGGGGTACACTGGCCCGCTAGGTTTCTCTCACCATCAGGTCAGGCCTTTCCTGTAGTCATACGACAGAACCACCCAGACTGAAGCAACAAATGGCAAGAGCTGCCAAAGGCATGATCTGGGCCAGGAAAGGTGGGTCCTGGTACTTGTGTCAAAGATGAGAGACTGTGTAAGAGGAGAGCAAAACTCAGGGAACAACTGCTCAAATACTCAATTTTAAAACACTTTCCAAAAATGAAAACTTAAGCCACCTGGGGTTGACAAAAACTACTTCCTTTTTTAAAATGAACATTTTATTGTGATTTGAGGGACGCTTACAAAAGCAGACAAATAACTCTATTCAACCATTCATTCACACACGTTTTGTTTTTGTTATATATCGTAGTTACATATGTACCAGTAGGTTTTCAGAGGCAGGAAATTATATAGGAAATTGTCCATCTTTCTCTGGTAGTATAACTGGTCAATTTGAACTACATGCCTTTGAAACTAAAGTGCAGCTCCTTATCACTAGGCCACCACATCTCCCATGCTTTGTTTGGCAACATTAATTCCGACCCTTATATTGTCCAAGCACTCTTCCTGCTCCCTCCCTGTGATTCTCATTTTCATGCCCCCTTCCATCGCTTCTTATCTATTTCTGAGTTTTATCCCTGGGCAAATGCTGCTTTTGTGGGTCATAGATATATGATTATTCTAACAGAAGCCCATACAAACTTAGGGTCAGCAGAAAATATGTTTTAAAAAACTTATTTTTTCCTCCCTGTCCGCATCAGGTCATCCCTGGTGACAATTATGGTGTCCATAATTTTCCTTAGGTCTTTTTTTTTTTTAAATAACAGTGGGCTCTTATAATATATGACCTTCTGTCTGACATTCCACGCAGCATAAAGTCCTCTAAATTGATCCAAGTTATGTGGTGCTTCTTTTTTAACTTTGTACTGTCATTTGAGTGAAAGTCAACAATAGCAGACTGGTGCTCCATTCAATCATTCACACACATTTTAGGTTTGCTTTATGACAATCACAACACCTACAATGTGACAGCACTCATCCTGCTTCGCCCTATGATTCTTGTGTCCACCACCATTCCTCCCATCACATACCTTCCAGTCTTCTGCATTTCAGCTCTGGACAAATGCTGCCCTTGTGATTTTGATTGGCTGGCTGTTCTAAGGACTGAGTACCTCTCCAGAGTCACTACTCACCTTAGAGAAATTTTCCAGTGGCAGGTCCCTTTTTATTTCCTTTCTTACTGCAGTCTGTTTTATTAATACTTGGCTGAGATGAAGCAAGTATAACCAAGATGAATAACAACATAAGTAAAAAGCTGGAAACACTTAAGATTTTGTCTCTAGTTCCTTTGTCTGTTTTGTTTTTGGGGTTGTTGTTTTTTTAAATTTTTATTGTGATTCGGGAGAAAGTTTACAGGGTAAACTGGCTTTGTTCAACCACCAACGCACATCTTATTTTTAGCAGGGACATTAGTTACCTACAATCCCCTCACCAACAATGCTCTTCTCACCTCCTTCCCCTCACTGGTCCCAGTCTGACCTGAGATGTCAGGGTAAGGGGGATTCTTCACTTTTCCCATCTGCACAGGATGAGCTTTCTGAACTGTCCATTCAAACCTTATCAGCATGAAGCTCTCATCTGTGCTGACCCTCAAGTACCCTGGTATCTGCTTTCTGTATGCCTCAAAGAGCCAATACAGAAGCTCACCAGGTAAGGTATTTTGTGAGAACATTCCCATATTATGACAACTGTTTTGTATGTTTTGTTGGGGTTTTTTTTCCCCCAATCTATGGTTTGAGGGAAGTTTACAGAGTAGATTTGTTTTCCATTCAACCATTCTTCTACATTCTGTTTTGTGACTTTTCTTGATTCTTCCCTGAGTTTCTTATTTCTGTAATTCCTTCTAGTGTTCTGAGCTTTACCCTAGACAAATTTTGCCTCTTGATCTTGTATGACTATTTGATGTTTGGCCAAAAATGGCACATAAAGGTGAGTTTTATTCCAAGCTTAAAAGGTGACTCAGGACCACAGTCTTAGGGGTTTCATCAGACTCTAACAAACCAATACGTTATTTCATTTTGTTCCCTGTTTTTTACTCATTCCCTAGGACCTTGACAACTACCCTGACATATGGCAAATCTTCAGTGGTTGGGGAGCAGACAGGGGAAAGCCAGAAGTGAAGATTATGGCGTGTCCATGTTTGGTTCTGGCCTTCTCATCCATTTCATTAGTGCCATGCCTTAGCTGTGAGCAGTCGGCCTGGGACAGGATGGCATGTGCTGGCAATTGAAGAGAAGGGGGGCCAGGAGCCTGAGGGGACCCAACAGAGTGGATTCTGAGGCTGCACTGGATTCTAGGAGATAGTAAATACTCCCTCGTCTCTTTTCTATCTCCTACTTGCCAAGAAGTCACCTTTTAACGGGCCATAATTGCTACAGTCCACTGCTGTTGAGTCATAGTCACCCTCTATCAGGCTTCTGAGGCTGAACGTCTTTGTAGGACTTTTATGAGGCTGAAAAATGGCAGAAGACTGCTCATCTTTCTCCTGTGGAGCAGCTGTTGGGTTTGAGCCACTGACCTTTCAGTTAGCAGCCCAAATCATAATGTACTATGCTTCCAGGGCCACTTAAAACTGTCACACAGTGTTGTCAAAATGCACTCTCTGACTGGGATAATTGGGATGGGAGTGTCAGAGACAGTGCGATTGGCACAGGACAGAGCGGAGTTTAGGGCTGTTGTACATAGGGTCGCTATGAGTCGCAGGCGACTCGACGGCACATAACAACAACAACAACATGACTTCTTGGGCAAAACTATGTCGCCCTTTATATAAAACCTGTAAAATCTGTTATTGAGTCAATTCTGACTCACAGTGACCCTATTATAAGAGAATGAAAGAGCCTACAGGGTCAGAGGAGACCTGGTTGGACTGGCAGACAGATTGAAGGCCTGCAATAGTTCTGTGAGGGCCTACAGGTCTGATGACTAACAAATCGGAAGGCCCACAGCGGTTCTGTGTATTCCTATAGGACTGCTGGCTGACAAGCTGGGAGGCCCACAGCAGTTCTGTGTGGGTACAGGACTGCTTGCTGACAGGTTGGAAGGCCCGCAACAGTTCTGTGTAGGCTCAAGACTGCTGGCTGGCAAGATCACAGTGAGTTTGGTTTTATAGGGTTTGCAAGGCTGTATGTAATTCTTTATGGAAGCCAACTGCCACATCTTCCAACCACTGAGTAAGTGGCTGGTGGGTTCAAATAATCAACCCGTTGGTTAGTACCCAAATACTTTACCACCAGAGCTCCTTTTTCTTTTTCTGCAAAAATAATTCTTTTACCTCCTTGAGTGGTCAATGTCATGTTTATGTAATTTAATCTGCAGCTCTCTACGTGGTAGTATGCATTGCATCATTACACAGTGCACTGGCTACCAGGCCCCCATGGGAGAAAGATAAGGGGTTTTCCTCCAGTGAACACATACAGCTATGGAAACCCATCAGGAGTTGTCATAAGTCAGAGTAGTAGATTTGAGGTTTTTTGTTTTAAAGGGTCTCTGTCCTTTTTCCTATCCTCTCTGGGCATGATCATGGCAGATAAAAGCAGTGAGCAAAATGTAGCAAGCAAAGATAAAGTACTCACTCCAGCAGGATGCCGTTGATGCCCTGTGTGAAGAACCTCTGCCTGCTCTCTCCCTCAGCAGCCCGGGCAGCCTGGTGCAGACAGAAAAGCATTAGTGCACTCACACCACACCTGCACCCTCACTCACAGCTATCAGAACCACACTCCCTGACAGCTGTCCTGTTGCTACCTCTCTGACGACTTACTCTTCACCATAAAGTCAAACTATCTCACAAGAGCCCTCCAGCAAGATTTCAGAGACTGAAACAGCCAACGAGGAGATTATCCACTTTTCCTCCTACAGAGCAGCTAGTGGATTTGAACCATCTGCCTTTCGGTCAGCAGCACAGCACCTAACCCACCAGAGAGCTCACTGGAGAAGCCAGTGGGTTCCATGTGTCAACCCTCTGATTAGCAGTTGAGTGCTTAATTACTGTGTCACCAGGGCTCCTGTGTGGTATTTAAGGACATTTTAATTCTTTGAAAATGCATCATTTACCTGGGCTGAGTCACAAACTATCACCCAGGACGTCTGACCAGCCAGCAAACACATCTGATTACCTCCTCCAGGAAGCTCCTACATGATCTATCACCTTGTCAGTCCAGCTGTAGAGGCCTCTGGAAACCACTCAGAAAAATCTCCTAAGGAGGTGGTACTGCTCCTGGGACCCATTTGGCCCCAGGGTCCTCTCCCAGGTCACATTCTTTCCCTTCTGCTCACATGGACAGGTGGGTGGGACAGAAATTATGTGGGCAGTTCCATGGTATCTCTTCTGTCTTGCAGGCTCACACTGTCCCTACGGGCCTAGTGCTGGCTGGCCCTGCTCCCAGTCCTGCACAGCAGAGGCCTCAGGCCGATAGCAGCTTGAAGACGAGTGTATGGAAGGCAGAGACCAGATCAGTATTCCTGGGAGAGGAACTCTCCTCCACTCAGAAACAGGACATCAAGAGCCTCTGGGGATGGGGCTCAGGCCTGATCCTCTTCAAGAGGACCCTGGGGACACTCACCATAGAAGGGTTGACACTGGTCTGGTGGCACCACACCAAACCACGTTTCTGAGATAGGACTGATCTGTGGTAAGGATGTCAACAACGGCTGGTTCAAGAGAGGGGATCCATCTGGTCCTGGCCTCTGACATGCAAACACTGCTCCCTTCCCTCTCCCCTGCCCCAGACTTCCTCTGGGTTCTCTTTGTACCTCCCTGATGGTCAAATCTCAGGCAAGTAACAGACTTCTACAAAAGGTGACCCTCTGCTCTGCCTTGCCTACTCTGCACACACACCCACCCCCAACCCTCAATTCCTCTGTCTACTTGCTCTTCCTGTTGTATGTCCTACCTGCAGGGACAGCACCTCTGTGCCTCCCATCCTGGCATTGCCTTCTTTTCATTCTACCAGAGAAAAATTTCAACCCTACAGTCAAACCCAAATTCCTTCCCATGGTACTGGGATCTCTAGGATCTGGACCCAGTCACCTACCCCAGCCCCCACATGCTAGGACTTCCTGTCCCTGGTTCTGTGGAAGGCCACCTCCACCATGAGGCCAGGTGAGCCGGCTATTAAGATTCCAATGCATTATTCCAGAACTTCTCATCTCCCAAGTCTGTACATTCGACTATCTGTGTGCCTGTTGGTTATCCAAACATCAAACAGCACTTGTCACTCTGCTCTGCCATCAGTCACTTATGTGCACACCATAAGCTCATTGAGGACAAAAACCATATACAATTCATTGATACTCTGCCCACAGTTGCCAGTTATATAACAGATTCCTAGTGTTGGCTAGGATGTCATCCATTAATGGCATCATCCATGAAGAAAGCAAAAAGTCAGGACACCATGACAGGAAAGAAACAAAAGAAGAGTAAGAGGTTGAAGAAATTAGGAAAATCCGGGGAGACCTGAAAAGGTGAGGTAATGATGGGTATGGATCAACTGTGATTAAAACACAATGTATGGGAATGATACTATGAAACACAATGTGAGTAGAGGACTGTATGAAAGACAATATATATGAACAAAACACAAGGTATATGAATTTTGTATGCCAACCAATATAAAATTTAAAAATAAAAATAAAAATATGAAGAGGAGACATGGAAACGTGCACTAGAATGCAGACAGGCCAAAGCAAAGGGAAGAAATACTTGAGAGCAGAACAGAAGACTTCAAAGGGCAGCTTGAGAGGACAAAGCAAAGCCTTATAATGAAATGAGTAAACAGCTAGGAGTTAGGACACCAAAAGGGAAGAACTAAAGAACAAATTCAAACCTTGAGTTACCATAATGAAGGATGCTGTAGGCAAAATAATGGATGATGCAGAGATGATAGGAATCAAAAATAAGATCGAAAGAATACACAAGTCACTGTTTTCAACCCCAAAAAGCTGGTCAACACTGAAACGTTTCAGAAAGAAGCTTATGATCAAGAACCAATGGTAACGAAGGAAGACATTAAAACTGCACTGAAGGCACTGGTTAAAAATAAGGTCCAGGAATTGAAGGAATACCAATTGGCAAATTTCAACAAACAGATACAGTCCTGGATGTTCTCAATAGTTTATGCCGAGAGAAGAAATTTGAAAGATTTCTTCTTTCCACACCTGGTCAACTGACTAGAAGAGATCTGTATTTATTCCAATCCAGAAAAAAGGTGATGAAACAGAGTGCAAAAAGTGTCAAACAATATCAATACTATCGGGAAGCTATGGTAGTAGGGCGTTGTGCTTCTAACCCAGAGTTAACATCCTCTCTAGCAGTTTAAATCTATTAGCAGCTTCTAATGAGTAAGATGAATCAGGAGTCATACCCTACAGCAGTGAGAGAGAGAAAAATCATTAATATCAGATGCAAGTAAAACTTTGCTGAAATTAAAAGATGTCCAGAACCAACAAGGAACTGCTAGAAATTCAAGCTGCATTCAGAAGAAGCCATGGAACAAGGGATATACCACTGTTAATGTGAGACAGAGCTCAGCTGAAAGAAAAAAATACCAGAAAAATACTTACTTGTGCTTTAATGACCATGCAAAGGCCTTTGACTATGCAACAACATGTATAAAAAAAAATTCTGGCTAACACTGAGAAAAATGGGAATCCCAAAGCACTTACTTGTGCTTATGGCAAACCTAAACACAGGCTAAGCAATAGTTTTCTGAATACAGCAAAGGAACACTGCATGGTTTAAAATCGGGAAAGGGTGTATCAGGGTTGTTTTCCACACCTATTCAATTTGTATGCTGAACAAATCACCAAAATGGCAGGGCTATATAAAGAAGAAAGTGGTATTAGGATTAGAGGAAGAGTCACCAACAGCCTGCATTATGTAGATGATATAATTTTGCTTACAGAAAGTGAAGAAGACAAATCACTCACTGCAGAAGATCAAAGACTACAGCCTTCAACTATGGTTACATCTCAACATCAAGAAAACAAAAATTTTTCCCACTGGAAAAAGCAGTATCATGATATAGGGAGAAAAAAATGAGGCTGTTAAATATTTCATCTTACTTGGCTCCACAATCAAAACAATAGTAGCAGCAGTCAAGAAATCAAAAGGTTGTTGTACTGGGAAAATTTACTGTTTAAGACTTTTCCAAAGAGCAAAGATGTCCATTTAAAGACCAAGGATGGGCCTGACCTAAGCCACGATTTTTTCAATTGCTTCCTATGCATCTGAAAGTCAGGCAACGAACAAGGAAAACCAAAGACACATCAATGTATTTGAACTGAGATTGCTGTTGAAGAGTACTGTATATCTTATGGATTACCAAAAAAACCAAGTTTGTCTTGGAGAAGTGCAGCCAAGGTGCTCCTTAAAAGCAAAGATGGTGAAACTTCATCTCATATACTTTAAGCATGTTAGGAGCAGTCGGTCTTTGGAAAAAATACATCATGCTGGGAGGCAGAGAGTCAGAAGGAGAGAAGATGGATTGACTGTAACAACAGGCACAAGTATGGTGGTGACTATGAGGATGGAGCAAGACAAAGTAAGTTTCTTGTCTGCTGTTCATAGGGTTGTTCTGAGTTGTGGTCAACTCAAGAACTCTTCCTTAGCAAGAGAAGTGTCAGCTGGACAAAGGAACATGCAAATGAGCCAATTTTCTATGAAAGAATGTAAACCAGTAGAAAAGCTTAATACTGAGCCAACCAAAAATCCTTTGGGAAGGCCAGTTTCTGAAGGTCCCTTGACCTTCCCTTGGCAATTTTCACATACCTGAACTTTTACTTTAATTTGAGCAAAATAAAATTGAGTTCCTCTTTTGCTCATGGCCCAGAGCACCTCCAGATTAATTCCACCAACTCACTTTAATATGTTACGTCAACTGCACGTCAGTCATGTGTCTTATTATTTCACTTTCAGAGAGCAACTACTTCTCTAAAGTTTCCTGCCTAGATCATCTCTGAAAAGAATCTGGCCTTTAGAACTGTGCCAATCGGAAATTCTGTTTACTCTGAAGGTAATCAGTTAAGTAAACTTGTAATTAAGCTTTTAAAATCTAACAGGAAGAGTGAGACACAGACACTGCACAGTCTTCTAGAAGTCACTGAGGTCTTGCCCTGAGAGGAGGCCCCTGGCTCTAGTCTTGTAAGAACAAAGCAATTCTAAATTAAATAGGGCACAAAGTTAAACTAAAACCATGATCTTGTTACAACTTTAATGAAAATAATGCTGCATTATTCTTTGTTTTGCTAACCTTGCAAGCCCTTCAAGCATTCGTTTCCTGCATACACTATGGAAGTTACATGCATGTGCTTGCTTAAGAAAGTGTTCTTAAGTGTGAAAAGTACAGTATTTGCAATAGCTTTTTGCTTTAGAGCCGTTTCCTTTATAGTAGGAAAGACTGTTTTGCTTGCACCCTTTCAGCACTTACCTAGGGACTTTACATATCGTACCTGTTTGTGCTCAACAGAATCAAACATGGTACACTTAAAAAAACCCAACTATTAGACAGGCTGATTTTTAGCCCATAACCTTACTTCCTTTGGATCTGCCCCTCTCCTAGATGTTTCTGCAGTGCAGGGATCCTAACCCAATAGGAGAGGTCAGCACTGAGGAAGCAGAGCAGAGAAGTAGGGGTGCCAAAGGGGTCTCTATTTCTCTCCTGCCCTCAATGCTCTTCCTATATGAAGCTTGACTAGATGTTGTCCCACTGCCATCAAGCTGATTCCTGGTCGAGTGACCCACCATCATGTTTCCAAGGCTGTGAATCTTGGCGAGAGCAAGTTGCTTCATCCTTTTCCTTCAGGGCAGCTAGTAGATTTGAACTGCTCACTCTCTAGTTAGCAATACAAGTCATGTCCTACACCTCCAAGGCTCTTTATACAGAAATACCACCATCATAGATATACATATACACACGAGTCAACCTGAGTAGTCAGTCTCAAAACTCCTGTGGCAGAGATCAGGCTGGAGGAGGCCAATGCCAAATCTCTGGTTTAACGTGGCACTTCTACAACTTTCATAACTGGTCTGCCCCAAACCTACCCAAACCCACTGCCATCAACTGGATTCCAACTCATTGCAATCCTGTAGAATAGAATAGAACTGCCCCACAGGTGTGCAAGGCGTTAAATCTTTATGGGAGGAAAATGACTCATCTTTCCCCTCCAAGTGATTCATGGGTTTGAATTGCTGACCTACTGGTTAGTGTAACAGTGTGCCACCAGGAATAGTTTCTATGCTAAGAGACCAGAACAGACCTGGTTCAGCTGTGGGGAGACACCAAGAAAACCCCGACCACTAAGATCCAAGGCCTCAATAATGCATTCAGGACAAAGATCACAAATCAAACTGCTAGATTCCTGGATCCCACAAAAATGGCTGGCAGAGGTGGCAAGAGAGGAGAAAACAGGCAATGTGAGAAGGCAAATGAGGACCACCAGAGGTGCCACTAAGGCACCTATCTCCTCTTGGGCAGAGAGAGTTTTTAGGACAAATTTCATTTATGCTTTCTACAAGGGTAGAGTTTTCCTGATCCACATCAGGTGAGAGTTGGCACATGTGCTATGGCAAACCACAGACTCCTCCCCTCGACATAGGTGCCCCAAGTTCCCTGGCCTCAAATTAGAGCTGCTCTTCTCCTTATTGGGTCTAACAGAGCATGGCAGCAATGATATCCTCCACACAACTCCAAGGACAGCCTTAACAGCCCTGCAGCTCCTGCTTGCACCATTAGCATGCTGCCCTGAAACTGATATGCCTTAAAGAAGCCTAGGATGAGCGCACAGTGGAAAGAGGCTCTAGCACCCACCCAAATCACTAGCCCAGTGCAGCCTCGTGAGCAAGACCAGAAATGGAACAGCATATCAACTCCCAGAATCGGGCATAAATTGCTCTTCCAAACAGTTAAAATTCAACAGTGGTTTTCTGGACTACAGCAGAAATACATCCATAAATGATACATGTATCATCAAGGGCCAGGATTTAAAATACAGTGTTATTACAAAGCAAAGAATCAGAGGGAGAGAAGAAGAAAAGGAACAAAAATAGAGAAACACAGACCACTGCTAACCTTCCAGTTACCAATATTGACTTTAATTTCATTTTTTCATTTCATTTCAAGATCTAAGACAAGCTCCTTCATAAGGATCCAGATTTTTACGTGTGGCCTTTGCAAATCTGGATGGACACAGTGGCTGAGACAGTGGGTTCAAGCACAGGAGAGATTGTGAGGATGGTGCAGGAGTGACAGTTTCCTTTTGTTATGAATGATTCAGAGCCGATTCTATACACCTAATATGTTACACAAAATATGTAATTTTGGGGTCTATATATATATATTTTTCTCTTGGGAAGACTTTTTAAGCAGGTTCTCAGAAGGGTCTGGGCTGAGAGGGCACATGCATATTTGGGAAAAGCATTAAGTGGGGTGAATGAAGCCCCCAGGAAAGTGGTTGGTTTGAACAGAGCACTGGGGGCACCCCTTCAAGTGGCACCTTCTTTTTCAATGCAGCTGTTAAAAATGAGGGCTTTATAATCATATTTATTTAAAAGGCAAGAAACAATTATTCACAACTATATAGTTACAACTGCGTGAAAACATGCACAAAGAGAAGAAGGAAAACGAAAAATAAAAAGTCATCACTAAGTTAGCAGGATACTAGGTAATTTCCGCACACTTCCCATCCCACTTCCCACAGCTCTTTGAGGCTATTACAGGCGAGGGACCAAGGAACAATCAGTTATCAGTCTCACTCTTGAATACTCTATTTTGAAACGGTGAAGTTGCTCTCTCCTGGTTACTGAAGTGGGCGAGCTTGCTGTGGGATTCCAAATTTTATCTCCACTGTGCAGATAGCAGGGCTTAACAAGATCTAAAGGCAGACAGCTTGCTAACACCTTGCCATTGAACAAATCCCAGAAAAGGAGGGTTTCCTGAACCAAGACAATAAACACTTTTTTATTCTGCCACTTCATTTCCAGTAAATCTGCCTTTGTCTTTCCCCAGAAAATAAAATTTTAAGTATTTCGGTATCTAACTAAGAGCCCAAACCATGGGGCTTTGGTGGTCTAGTGGTACAAAGCTGTGCTGCAATCCTGAAGGAACGTGGTTCAAATCCACCAGCTGCTCTATGGGAGAAGGATGGGCAAGCTCCTGTATGATTAACTGCCTCTGAAAATCTGTTAGATGGTCATGGGTTGGTTCCAACTCGATGATACACAACAAAAGCCCAAACCAAGAGGACTGGAAGCCCAAGCATTGCATTGTGACTCTTATCTCAGAAACACTGGGCTCTGCTGCACTCAATAACCCACTGCCATTCCAACTGGTCTCACTCAGTGACGTTCCATCCATTTTCCAAAGCTGTAAATCTTTACTGGAAAAACCATTCATTATCTCCTGGGAATAAGTTAGTGGGTTCAAATCACTGACCTCGTGGTTAGCAGCCTCACAGGGCACCTTACTTACATAGACCTTATTAAACGAGTCATTCAGAAGTTATAAAGCAATCTGATCGCAAACCACTAGGTCAGCAAAAAGCAGTGTCTTCTTTCACATACATGAATTTTGAGAGCAGAGTAGGAATGCATGCTCAAGCAAGCTCATACTGGGTTGCGCTGATGTGGCAGTTTATGTAAATGGTGATGCTCCAATAGGATACTCAGTCTGAAGTGGTGAGCAAGCTGGTGGTGACCTGACTGTTACATTTTGTGTAACTTATGTATAAATATTTCTGGCAAGTTATCAGAATCACTGTAAAGCTGAGGTTCTTCATGTTTGACCCTGCCCTAAAACCAAGAACTATACAGAACACTAAGGTAGGAACTTCCTGGTGGGATTTTCCACTAGGAGTGTACATGTTGTAGGATATGCATCACCTGTCAGGATGCCTTCTCACGTGAAAAGGTAAATATCACTATAACTAACGGTCAGGCTGAGTATAAAGTTTGTATGTTGGGTTTATATGCTACAGAGCTGCCAAGTCTTAGCTCCGGAGTGGTGATTTCTGGACTCTGGGTGAAGCACCAGCAGTTGCCATGTTCTGAAGCTTGCTGCTGTCATTTTTAACAGGGTGTAGACAGTACCTGAGGTTACTATCTGACAAAGCTGCAATGACTCCCTAACACAGATGATATGTATGGTTGGTTTAAGGAGCAACTGAACCCTGGCAACAATTCATCACCTCCTCTATATATACTTCTGAAGTGTGCAAGGTTTTGGGGTAATTTCCAGAACCTTCCAAAGTGCTAAAGAGTAGTACCTTGGCTTTAATTGCCGGCTGTCCATGTGAACGTCCACCCAAGACAGAGGCAACTCAGTAAGAAGAGAGTGGACAGAAAGAAAGTGAAAAGAAGAAAGTAAATTTTCCAGGAGGGATGGAATCAAGCAAGGCCTGAAGATGACACCCAAGGGGCAAAACAGAGAGTTCTCTCCATCAGGAGTGTGAGAGCGCTGAGGAAGAGCTGACCCCAGCTTGCTTCCTCGCTAGCTCAGGAAGGGTTTTTCTGGGCGTAGAGCTTCCTGGAGTGTAGAACCAATGTCAACCTGCCCCAGGGAACCGCTTCCAGGGGAGCCCCAAGGCCACCCGGTGTCACCGTACCTGAGCCAGCTCCTTAATGCGCTTCTCCAGGGGTGCAGGCAGGCCTTCGGGGAGGGAGGAGGGCTGCCTGAACTCCGGGTCCAATCCCACCCCAAGGGAATCGCTCTCATCATCCATATCACGGAAGGGACTTCCTTCTGGAGACTCACTGAGCAGCTGCTCCAAGTCCAAATCAGTCAGCACATCCATGGCTGTGGCTGCCTGCTGCAGCAGGTCACTTTCAGAGGTAGAGCCAAAGAGTGAGAGCAGGGGGTCAGGAGGTGCCGCCTCCAGTTCCCGCAGGCCTGGGGCTTCCACAGATGAGGAGACTGCTCCTGGCGTGTGCTCCTCCTCCCTCTTATTCTGAGCCTCCTTCTCTTTCTGGAATTTCTTTAACATCTCTTTCACGCTTAGTGCCCCAGAGTATTTCTTCTTCTTCTTCTCTTTACTGGCATTGAGCGCTGTGAAACTGCAAGCAAGAAGTGACTGGTTATGGAGACTGTGCAGAGGGAGGGAGGAAGCACCTCTGTAAGGGGACATTCAGAGAAAAACTTCATCCCTACTAGGAGGGTAACAGCCCAGTCACCCAGAGGACCCTCCTCCTGTCCTAGGGCTCTCCCTGCCAAGACCAGAGTTTCAGTCATTGACTGAACACAGATTAAAAACACAGTGTCTCACGCTATGTACTCCTGGGCACTGAGACACCACAGCCAGGTGGAAATAAAAGGCTGCAGAAGCTTCCCTGACTCTCAAAAAAAAAAAAAAAGGAAAAAAGAAGCAGGACAAGAACTCTTTTAAGTGAGGCAGTAGAGTCACAGAGAATAGCAGAACCTGGAGTAGCAGCTGGGGAAGGGAAAGTGAGGCACATTAGGTACGACCACAGACAATAAGAGAAGGCAGAGGCAGAGAGGAGTTCCCAGGAGCAAGAGGAGCAGTGCAGGGACAGAATGGATGCCAGTGTTGATACACAGATGGGAGAGCTTGGACCGCCAAGGTGGCCCTGAGCAAGTCGGAAGGTGGCCTCTTCCAGATCTGAGGGAGGAGGCTGAGTCAGCTCCCAGGCAGCTCAACCCAGGTGGCTTGGATCTTAATCTAAGAAAGAAGCTGCTGCCGCTCACCCAGCTTTAGAAAACTTGGACTTTTTTGACCTCTTCTCCTTGTCATATGTGTCATCTTTTTTCTTCTTCTTTACCTTCTCACTGCCTTCCTTCAACTTCCGCTTCTAAGAATCAAAGATAAGGAACAGTTATCTGGCCCCCTCACTCAGGGAGCAAGAACTAGCCACCACATTAGCCTTGACCCACCCCGGCATGTTCCTACACTGGCCTCTCCTTGCCTTCCCATGTTTAGCTTGCAAGGCTAGAGCCACGCCACACACACCTGCTGCACAACAACACAGCCTTTCCTCAGTCAGCCAGCTACCATCTCTCAGAGATGCCAAGTGACCTGAGGTAACAATGGGTCACCAATGAGCAGAAACCCGTTCCAACTAATGAACCAAACACCACTGATCCTATGTGTGTATCAATGTGAACTAAGACGCCACATCCAGAACTGGAGCAGAGCCTTCCAAAGCTTGCATCACCTTATCCCAGCCAGGCCTATGAGGGGGCTGCTGACCCCACTTCCCCCACAGCATCCTGGGCCATCCTTATTCACCTGTCAGGTCTCTTGGGTTCACAACAGTTATAGGGAGAATCAAGCAGAAGCCAGTTCTAACCTTCGGGGATTTCTTCTTCTTTTCTTTAATGAAGTCATCCTCAGATTCTGAAGCTTGGCGAAACTGCAAGGTCCCCGAGTTGATATAGAATCCTCCATACTTGGTGGTCAAAGATGCAGGGACCAGCTCATCATACTAAAAGGGAAAGCAGAGTGTCAGCACCAAGTTCAGGAACAACATTCCCAAGACGTAAAGTTGGTTTTCAGAGAGCAGATACCAACACATCTATCATACTTTAGAGAGTATGGTGGGATGTTGCTGCAGGCAGACTGCCAAAGAGGCTCTCTGGACAGATCTGGCCATTACTATCTTGTACATGAGGGAACTAAGACCCAGAGGGAGGGTGTCATTTCCTTTGTTTCCTCCAGGGAAGATGAGGGCACTACCACTCTGACTCCATTTCCAGCTTCCAGGCTGCTCTCATCACCACCACCATCACCATGACCACCACTACCTCCACCACCACCACCAGTGAGCACCGATGCTGAGGGTCCATTCTTAGCAAACACTTACCGCCTCCGAGTTATCAATGAAGGAATCGGATTCATCATAACCATACCCCATATCAATCAAGTCCTGTATCCGGTCTTTTCGACGCTTCTTTCCACCCTACGATTTTAAAACAAAGGACATGTTCTGGGTTTTGCTGGGTTGCTTTTTGTTCTTTAACTTATAGGTGTTATCCTGGTAACCTATCTGATACAATAGTGTTTTTTTTCTGTTAAAACTTTCCTTAGTTTTTTATTATAGTGGACGTATACAATATTTGTCTTTTAGTGGTTAGCTGAGTTTACTCAGAATAATGTCCTCCATGTATGTTATTGGTGTTTTGTCAACTCTTATTTTATTCATTAACCTTGCACAGTATCCCGCTGTACATTTCCTACCAGCTGCATTCTATGTATGTTAAAATATTTAAGTAATCATTGAGCTCTGCTCTAATGTGGTTGCTACCACTCTGCATCAGGTGGAGTTGGATATATATTGTGACTCACTCAAGGAAAGGACCATCCAGTGACCTCCCCACCTTGCAAGGCGACTGTCCCAAGACAGAAAGCTTACGTATTTTTCTTCAAATTTCCGGGCAAGGGCTTCCACCTTATGTTTTTCCTTTTCTTCATCATTGAAAGGATCTGAAAGGTCTTTCTTCTGTAAAAAGATCATTTCCACACACAAAAAGTAGTGTAACTACTGAGAGAAATTCCATTGACCACTCAACACCTATAAACAATCAAAACTGTTTTCCAGGAAAGACAAGGTATAACACATGATACTGTTACCTTAATTACTAAGGCACAACTTCTATTCATGTGAAGCAAGAACTTGATGAAAGGCCCACAGCCCATCCCTTCCCTAGAGCATGAGGTCCTGCCCTCCTCACCAAGTCAACACTGAATGCTAGCAATCCTGCAGGATAGAGTTTTCAAGTATGTAAATCTTTATAAACACAATCATCTTTATCATTCTCTCAAGGAGTTGGAAGGTTCCAATCACCAATTTTCCAGTTAGCAATCAAGAACTTAACTGATGCATCACCAGCATTCTCCAAACACAACAAAGGGCCTCCAGTCAGGGACATCAGATTACAGAGAATTGGATCACAATCCCTCAGTGGGATTTCCTGCAACCTTTGTAAAAGTCCTTTTATGCATTTATAAGCATGTAACATATAAAGGGTCTCCACAGCCTTCACCAAGCTTTCAAAGCAGTTAAAGGCTCAAATAAAGCTCAGCACCCTGGAAGGGAGAGTGCTGATTCTTGAGTGCTGTCTGGGACAAGGCCCTCCATATGCCATAACAGCCCAGAGCAGCCCCTTGTCCTGGGAAGCCACTACCCTCTCCTGGTCTCAGAGCTCATTTTCAGGGTTTTTATGTGGTCTTCCGAAGTGTGTTTCTACTCATAAGCCAATTCTTTCCAAGAAATAACATTTTACAGAGTTAGACCATAAGTTTCTTGGACAAGAGGGCTTAGTTTTAATAAAGACAATGGACGATCTCCTTTCAAGCAATTTACTGTCTTTCAGAACCGCTGGAGGATTAGCTATGAGTTGGTTAAAACTCAATGGCACACAACAACAATGCTCAGGAAAGGCGTTATCTCCTTCATTTGCATTTATTTTTATTTGTGCAAAGTTGATTTGGGGTGGTAGAGATGGTCGTCTCTGGGAAACCTGCACTAACCAAGTCTATCACCGCCATTTTTCTAATAGCCAGTGCTACTACCTTTGGGTCTCCCACATTCCACTTTAGTCCTTCTTGTCACATTCTAAACATCATGCTTTGCACACTCCACAGATGACAGCCTAGCATCAACCCTGACTTTTACAGATACCGGGAAACTAAAGACTCACTTCACTGCAACATGCACCTTGCTGTGGGGTCTGGAAATGAACCCACAGCATCTCAGAGATCTGCCTGCACGTGTAAGAGCAGAGCAAAAGCATTAAAGACTGGAGGCTTGTTTGAAAACAAACTCCCTTCACTCACTACCTACTCTCTGCCTACTATTTCCCATCCACCCATAAAACGATAATCAAACCCATTGTCATGCTGGCTCTCCATCAGGCATCTGAGATAGTCAGTCTCTACAGGAGACTGCCTCAACTTTCTCTCAAGGAATAGCTGATGAATTCAAAGTGGTGATCTATGAATCAGCAGCTTAATAGGCAGCTGCATACAAACTATCAAGTCTCCATAAACTCTTCTGGTCCATGCCCTCAGGAGTCTCCTTATATACTAACTTAAAAAAGAACTGCCTTGTAATCTGTTACTTTGTCATTCTAGTTCTCCTAAAATAGTTACAAAGTTGCAATTTCTTAGCTACAGCTAGAAGGGTGACTTTTCCACTTGGGAAAAGCCCTCTGTGGCTATCAAAGCACAGTGCTTTGCTTGTCCTATTAAATCATAAGTAGACACGCCAAACCAACTGTCCTTTTAACAATGCAGAGCTAACACTCAAAGATCCTAAAGTTCTCAGTCTGAAGTCAAGGGATGGCTACTGAGACCAGACTAAAGGTTATCCATATAAACCAAACACACTGTCAATTGAGTTGCTTAGGACTCATGGCAACCTAACAACGGGATTCCAGGGATGTCAATTTTTACAGAAATGGACTGCTTCATCTTTCTTCCAGAGCCACTATCAAACTTGAAACACTGACTTTTAAAGTCAGCAGTGTGACATGCACAAAGGTAGTAGAGCTTTTTCCTTTGTGTATGTTCCACACACTTTTCAGAACTGGAGAAGGACATCTGGAATTCAATCAAGGTGAAATCTGAGCCTGGAATTCTATGTTCAGTTGACCTACTGATTTAGTTTGAGCCCATAAATAAGTATTACTGCATTTGTGCTTCCTTTCTTTAAAAAAAAAGTTATTTACCAATTTTTATCTAAACAGAGTGGAAGACCCTTCTAACCCCATGAGCTCATCCCAAACAGAACACTGTGAACTAGGCGAGCCACTTGAGGCATTCCACTAGAAACCTGACCTACATAGTCTAGTTTGACCCTTGGATATCCTGTCAGCCAGGCACTGTCCTTTAACCCTACTTGAAACTACAGGTGGAATACTATTTGTCTTGTCTGCAATGCCTAGCATGGTGTATGGGGGTATACCAAACAGAATGGCTCAATGTGACCCTGGTGGACAAAAGCAGAGCTATTCCTTCAGGTTCCCGAGGCTGTGGCTCTCTGTAACTGCAAACCATCTAATCTTCCCCCAAGGAGTGGCTGGTGGGTTTTAAATGGTGATCTTTAGGTCTGAAGTCTAATGCTCTTACCACAGCACCACCAGGACTCCTATGGCTACTTACATTCTAACTCACAGCAACGTTCCATCAGGTTTCTGAGGCCACTACCAGATGAGATCACCTATCGTGGCAACACTCAAAACAATCAAGAATTCTTCAAACACCATGTAACAACAGTAGCTGGTGACCTTTAATAGTCACCAGTGTGACACATGAGGTACTAGACCATCAGTGTTTATTATACGGTAGATGTTCAAAAATGTTCCTTACCTGCAACTCCTACCAGTACTGTATGATTCTATTTATAGAAATAAAAAGGAATGTAAGGCTCATTGGCAATGTCAGAAACCAAAGCAGTAGCTACCCTTAAGGGAGGGGGGAAGAGTCTCTGAAAAGCATGAAGAGGGTGTTTCAAATGTCCTCCTTACTGTTTCTTTCTTGACTCAATTGCAGGTTACACAAGTACACGTCACAAGTGTATTTACATATTTTGTTGTTGTTGTTGTTATGTGTCATCAACAGCTCTGAACCCTGTCCTACCACACTGTCTCCAACACACCTACCCCCATTTCTCCAGCTACTGAGTCAATCATGTCATCCAGCGTCTTCCTCACCTGCACTGTCCCTCCACCCGTCTGAGTAAGACAGACTCTTCAAGGACTCATCCCTCCTGGCAACGTGCCCAATGTACGTGAGATAGAGCCTCAAAATTCTTGCCTCCAAGCAATGTGGTTCACTCTCTCCAAGACAGATCTGTTTGTTCTCTTGGCAGTCCATGGTATGTATGTTCTTTACTCTTCTTATGTATAGAATGCTATTTAAAATCCTTTAAACAATTTTTTTTTTAATTTAACAACTTGTCAAAACATCAGTCACAGCTGAAGCTAGAAAACAGGTTTGTGAGTATGTACATTTGAAGTGAGGGGAATTTCAGAGGCTATTTTCTATGTTTCTTTATGTACATCAACAGTCCCACATGAGAAAACTAACCAAGAAAAGATTTTTTTTAAAATGCATGCAGAAAACAGATTTTTTTCAAGAGACCTGAAGGTTATACTTCAACTCTCATGAAGAAAAAAAAAAATAGATTAAAAACAAGAAGAAAAAAATATCTTTCTATTATGAGCAGTCTGTATCTTACCACCAGGGAAAAAGCAAGTCTCCTGGCACAGAAAAGCCCAACACAGCAGTCCCTCATTTGACAGGAAGCATTTAGACTCGCTTCCCAGACTGCTTTGCAGAGTGGACAGCATCTCCCAGATTTGGGCATGTTATCAGAAGGGGACAATCCCTGGAGGACATCATACTTGGAAAAGTGGAGAGTTGCTGAGGGAAAGACTATCAATGGGATGGACAGACGCAGTGAGTGCGAAGATGTGCTTAGGCACCACATGCAGATTGTAGAGCTCTGCAGACCTAGGCCTGGTTTGGTTTGGTTTGATTAGCATTGCCGTGACTCAAAACCAATGGCACCTAACAAGGTAGAACATGAAAAAATGCATTATTTCTAACAAATATTAATTAGTCATGATTCAAATAAGCTTTGGATGTGCCAGACATGTTTTCCTAGTCTAAGTCAGGATATTATTTTCAGAATGAATTCTATCCCTTTCTGCCCAGAAGTAAAACTTGCTTGTGCTCTGGGTGGAGAAAAGACCCCTCCCAGCAGGCAAAGGTCCTTAAGTACAACCTGTGATGGTGATGCCAGGCATGAGATCTTCAGAATGACATGGAGGTGTACCTTGTCTCCAGCAGGAAGGCCTTTCACCCTTCCTCGCAGATTCTTCACCAGCTCTGGGTAGAAGAACTCGGGGCAACGTTTGTGGTCTGGTTCAAAGAGGGTGAGTGTGATGCGAACAGCAGCTGCTGCAGGCTCTAGATCTTGATGTTGCTCTGCTCCCCCAATATCTTCCTTCCGGGATTTCTTCAAAAAGGCAGTATTTAGAGGACCTGACAGAGAGGTAAACTGGACCCTGTGGGGCTCAGACATGGCTACCAAGTCCCAGCGTTGTCACTGCATGGCTTCTGCTAACACTGGGGAAAGGAAAAAGGGGCAGGTCAAACCAGACAAGAAAGTCACCATGGAAAAGCCTGTTGAGCTTATCTTCATTACCATTTATGGATTTCTCTTTTCTTTGAACAACATTTTCAATAGAAACATGTATGTATAAATGTATAAACATATATTATCAGTATGTATAAAGGAAAGGCCTAGAAAAATCCACTGCTGTCAGAATCAATTCCAACTGATAGCAATTTTCTGAGTTTCTACTGCTATAATTTTATGGGCATCCTTCTTCAGAGCAGCTGGTGGATTCATCACCAATTTCTAGATCAGCAAACTACTAAGGCAATTACACCACCAGTGCTCCTCAAACACTTAGATATAAAAGGAAAGTCATTCCCAAATCCTACCATCCAGATGTGAATCACGTCCACCATTATTTTCTCCCAGGCTTTTCTTTATGTACATATGCTATCGTTAGGTAGCATGGAGCAGGCTCCAACTCAAAGCGAGCCTTACATGCAAGCAAATAAGATGTTGCCCAACCCTGTACCATCCTCACACTCTACCGACTGTGTCAGTACATCTTCCCTGAGCATCTTCTCCTTTTTCACTGATCCTCTACTTTACCAAGGACATATAAAACAAGCAAAACAAAACAAAAAAAAAGACTCACAGTGACCCTCCATCAGGTTTCTGATGCTGGGAATCTGTACAGGAGAAGTCCACCCTCTCCTGTGAAGTGCCTGGTGAATCTGAATGGCTAAATTTTGAGTTAGCCTAACATTTAAGGCAGAACATTGATACATCAACTAAAAAACTCAACTCATTGCAGTCGAGCAGGAACTAACCCATAGCTGACCTTCTGGGGGTATTCAGAAGCTCTCAAACATTATTTGAGCATTAACATTAAAGAAGGGCGTTACAGTGCCTTGGCAGTAAGGGGCTGGCTGCCAACTCAAAGGTACATGGTTGGAATCTACCGGGTGCTCCTGGGGAGAAAGATGGAAATCTCTTGAGATTTGTTGTTATTAGAGGCTGTCGAGTCACCTGTGATATGTATAAAAGTCCTGAAACCTGTTTTATCCTGCGCCAACCTTATTGTCTCTGATACAACTACCCCCATTCCCCGAGTCACTGAATCAATCCATCTCATGAAGGGTCTTCCTCCCTCATGCTGTCCCTCTCCAAAGACTGGTCCCTCTTTCAACATGCCCAAAATATGTCAGACGAAGCCTCAGAATCCTTGCCTCCAAGGATTAGCTTGGTTTCACCCTCTCTAGGTCGAGCCCATTTGTTCTCCTGGCAGTCGATGGCATATTCAATACTCTTCTCCAGCATCATAGCTCAAAGGCATCAATTATCTTTCCATCATCCCTCGTCATTGTCCAGCTCTCTGATGCAAAGCAAGTTAATGGCAAAGACTATGGCCTGGATCAGGTGCACCTTAGTCTCCAGACTGACATCAATGCTCTTCAGTACTGGGGAAAGGTCCCTGACAATAGACCTTCCCTGTGCAATTTGTCTTTTCATTTCCTGGCTGCTGGTACCAATAGTGTTGATTGTGGAGCCAAGAAAACTAAAGCTGTTAATTTACTACCTCTGAAAACCCACCAGAGGGCCAGCTCCAAATTTATTCAACACCATTTTTTCTCCTAATAGAAAATAATCACTTTCTTAAGACTGCTTTAATGAGAAAGTTTACTTTCATTTTGGATAAATTTTCACAATAAAAGAGTTTCCAAGCCTTAAAGCCCATTACCAAGACAAGGAGAGAGAGAGAAAAAAAAACCCTCTACAAGTTCTCAGGTGGGTATGGCCAGACTCACTTCTTAATAGAGTCAAGGGCTCCTTAGCACTTGTTCTCATCACCCAAAGAATCTCAGCAAAAGCAACAAATTATCCCAGCCAGAGACCTTCAAAACAGCTTGAGAATGGTCAAAACAAACTCAATTCTAAGATCCTACGGGTTTACAGTACATATGCAAATACACGTTATAAAGATATTATGTGCGTACATGCGTGTGTGTAATTTTGCTGTTATAGTTTTGTACCATCAAGTCAGAACCAACTCACAGCTGACCCTCTGGTGGGTTTTTAGAGGGAGTCAACTGCTTAGGGGGAAATGATCCATCTTTATCCCAGGGAGTAGCTGTTGGATTTGAACTGTGTGCCTTCAGAAATGCAGTGTAGCTTCTTAACATTAGGCTACCAGAGCTCCCTAAGTTCAGGAGAATTTAATCTGTTAAACAAGTATCTTAAGTATGCTTCTGACAAAAATCTATTTTATAAATTCTCAGATTTATAAATAGACAAAGATTGTGAGTGAAATTTAGAGGATTAGGAAAAGCCATGTTTTTAAAGAAACAATTTTAGTGAGTGGAATAGTACCGTACTTTTCTACACACAAAAACCATCCCTCTTAAAAACCTCAGCTATTATTCAAGAAATGCTTTCCTTTTTTTTCTCAAGCTTCCTCTGTTCCTTAGGTTATTTCCAAGAACTGAATGTTTTGATTATTGTGCACAAGACCTTTTCATGTTATTTTAAATCACACAAGAAGAGACTGCCTATCTTTCTCCCATCAACTACCTGCCTCTGGATTGCCAATGCAATTGCTTACCACTAGGTCCCCAGAGTTCCTTGCCTATGTATAAGTAATACTAACTTCTAACATACATACCAATGCTGCCAGACACAAACCCAATAGAGCAAACAAAATGGTGAGAGTGACCCATATACATACAAGGAGGATTTGTTAATAGAACTATTATTCAAAGATACCAACTACTAAAAGCCAAAGGTGAGGAAATGGAAGACTTCTATTAACTTTTACAATCTGAAATAGAACATGCAATCAAGATTCACTAATAAATAATTGGTTATTGGAATGCAAAAGTAAGAAACAAAGGAGGAGTGGTAGTTAGAAAGCATAGACTTGGTGACAGAAATGAGGCTGGAGATCAAAGACTAAATTTTGTACAATCAATGAAAATAGCCTTTTTAAAAACACCACAGTGATTATACACGTGGACCTCATGTGATGTACTGTACAGGAATCAGACTAGCTACATCTGTGGAAAGAATCATTGGAGAAGCTCAGTATTATCAATCAAAATCAGGCCAGGTGATGACTGCAGAACAGATCATCAATTATTTATGCCCAAGTTCAAAATGAAGCTGAAGAAAATGAAAACAAGTCTGTAAGAATGCAAACATGAGGGGAGCTCTGGTGGCCTAGTGGCAAGGAACTGCAACTACAATCCCAGAGGTGCACGGTTTGAATCCACCAGATGCTCTGCCAGGGAAGGAGGGACAATCTCCTCCTGTACCAGTCAGATCTGATTTGACGGTACACTCACACAAAAATAAAAAAATATTAAAAAAAAAAAGAATGCAAACATGAACTATATCCTACCTGAATTTTACAACCACCTCAAGAACAGGCTTGAAACACTGAATACTAATGATTGAAGACCAAATGAGTTGTGGGATGACATCAAAGATATCATCCATGAAGAAAGCAAAAGGTCATTACAAAGACAGAGGATAAAGAATAAAGCAAAATACAGTGCAGAAGAGACTCTAAAAACAGTATTAGAGGATTGAGAGTCCTAAAAATAGAAGAAATGCTGAAGTAAGAGATGAATAGAAGATTTCAAGATGACAAAGTAAAATAATGATAGAGAGCTGGAGTTAGAAAATCAAAACAAAACATACCTGCCCTTTCTCAAGCTGAAAGAACTGAAAAATTCAACCCTCAAGTTGTAATACTGAAAAAGACTCTAGGCAAAAATCTTGAATGATGCAGGAAGTATCAATAGAAAATGGAAGGAATTCACACCCACTATACCATTCCTGTAGGAAGTGCCACGCGAGCCAGGATAGGGGTGCCCAGCGCAAAGGGATCCCCACTCCGTAGCTGGGAAAACTGAGACACTGAGTTGGGAAGTCATCTCATCAGAGATCACTGACAGGAGGGCTAGAATCAAGCCTTCCAACTGGGGACATTCCTGTCCCACCTCTTGTAGAAGATTTGCACTTTTGAAGGAGCTCTGATGACACAACCCTGCTTGCTGAAACTGAAGAGGACCTGAAGCGCCTGCTGCAGAGTATCAAGGACTGCAGCCTACAATATGGATTGAGGCTCAATGTCAAGACGACAAAGATTCTCACCACTGGACCAATTGGCAGCATCAGGATGGATGGTGAAGAGATTGAGATTGTACACAGCTTTAGTTTGCTTGACTCCACAGTCAACACTCTTGGCACCAGCAGCAAGGAAATGAAAAGACACACTGCCATGAGAAAGTCTGCTGTTAGGGACCTCTCCAAAGTGCTGAAGCGCAATGGTGTCTCTCTGGAGACTCAGGTGCGTCTGATACAGGCCATGGTTTTTGCAATCACTTGTTATGCATCAGAGAGTTGGACAATGACCAAGGAGGATAGAAGGAGAATTGATGCCTTTGAGCTGTGGTGCTGGAGAAGAGTATTGAGAATACCATGGACTGCTAGGAAAACAAACAGATTTGTCCTGGAAAGGGTTAAACCGGGTGGCTCCTTGGAGGCAAGGATTCTGAGGCTCCGTCTAACATACTTTGGACATGTTGTGAGGAGAGACCGGTCCTTAGAGAGGGACATCATGCTTGGGAGGGTGGAGGGACAGCGCAGGAGAGGAAGGCCCTCTATGAGGTGGACTGATTCAGTGACTGGGATAATTGGGATGGGAGTGTCAGAGACAGTGTGATTGGCCCAGGACAGAGCGGAGTTTAGGGCTGTTGTACATAGGGTCGCTATGAGTCACAGGCGACTCGACGGCACATAACAACAACAACATACCAATCCTGACCCCACATTTCTCCTCATAGAGCCCAGCCTCCCCGATAATCTGTTCTGCATACAGGTTGAAAAGGTATGGAGACAGGACACATCCCTGGTGTACGTCCTTCCCAATTTTGAACCATGCAGTGTTTCTTTACTCTGTTCTGACGACTGCCTCCTGGTCCAAGTATAGGTTTCACAT